TCAAAAGCAGAAACTCAGTCACTAAGAAAGAGCAGGAAGACATACAAAAGCCAGGTTAGGTTACACCCTAACCTAAGCAGAAGAGGAAACATCTACTTACGTGCGAAGTGTGTAAGGAAATAGGCACCATATGTAACGCCATATGCGGCGAAAAGGACAGGTGCCAGTCGCTCAATCATTGTGATAGTGGCCTGCAAGTCTGCAGGCTGCGCTCACAGTAGAAAAAACGAGGCTCCTGTCAGTGTGCAAGAGGCCACTAACAAAAGCCTTGCCCAGGAGGATTCTCCTGAACTGAGCAAGCGCTAGGGCTGCTCTGACACTCAGGCCTTCCGTGCACCAAGGCACCCTTCTGATGTCACCACGACAATGTGGCAACCATGCCCTGACATCACAAAGCAAACGCTCCATGTTGCTCTGTGAGTTTTTGCCAAGCACTAACCAACCTTCCCTACAGCAAACACAAAAGAGCCTGGGAAGTTCTCCTCTGTCACAAAGTAGCACAAATTCCCCTTGTGGGCCAAAGCCTGTTGTTCAAGGGATCCAAGAGTGCCCCAAACACCTACAGCCTGTACCCCAACTGAGCACTCAAATGGGACCCAAGCAAAGGAAATCAGACCAAGAAAATGGCACAAAGCATTGCCCATCTGAGAAACGACCCTTCTTTTAACTTTTTAAAGGTTTATTAAACCTTAACAAAGGACTGAATAAGGAAAGATTGCAGCACTGGGAGTCTCCATGATTAGCAGCCACATGCTCATCTACAAAAGGGATGCTTTGCTTTCTATACCCTTAGCCCCTGCAAAAGTTTTGTCAGTCAACTCTTTCTGTGCTGTCCATTGGTGGAGATTACTTTCTTGCACCTTGATTGGAGGTCAGGGGTTGTTCCACCCCTCCTGCTGGTCACAAGCCAGCCCTCCCCAAATGCCCTGACTACCAAGGCGATTACAAGGGGGATAAGAAAGAGGACTATGGGAGGACATATTACAATAACAGCACTTTCCATTTGAACATAATATCTGTCCACATAATAGCTATCTCCTAATTGTGAGAGCCAACTACTACATTACTCACCTATAATGCACAGAACCAGGAGAGAAGGCACTGTTGGCATCACAGCTGAAATCATTCCTAACATATCCCCCCACATGTTTGCACATTTATTGGACATGGCCAGGACTCCTGTGGATGTACATCTCTGCCTTTCTTCCCCTTGGGAAGCAGTCAACCTGGAACTCGTGGGGAAACCAAGGGCTTTGTGGGGGCTGCATTTCTCTGCACACACCCAGGCCACATGTGGCACAGAGCTTTGGTGCCTGAAAAGGTCAACCAGAGGAAAACAGCTGGAAAAGCTTTCATTTTGACCTTTCTTACCTGCTAACAGAAGTTGCCAAAATGAAAGTTACCAAGTGGGGCCTGATCCCTGCTGCCAGCTGAGCCTTAGAAAGGAGGCATCACTTTATTTCAGTGCTGGGTGCATAGGGAATCACTTCCCTAAGGCCTGCACAGCCAGCAATCCCACCTACCAGTTTGTATGCATGGAACTAAGACATGTTCAATACTTTGCTGAAACTCACAGGCTAAACATTACCCCAGATTTATTGACATATTTCAATCACTTCTCAGAATTTATTGGCATCAGGGTAGGAGTGTCCTGTAGGTCCCTGGTGGTCGCTGCCACAGGTTCAGGAGGAGACCCATGCACAAAAGAACCTAGGACACAACTGAGCTCGCAAAGCAAATTTATTCCATTAATTGCAGTAGCAAATAATACATTCTGACCCCTGGATTCCCAAAAATCCACTGAGCAGAAGAAGGAGATATGGAGCGTGGTGCTCGGCAGCAGGGGCAGGTAGGCAGTGCACTTCCAGGACATGCCCTGGATCAAAACAGTGTGCATCTCATCCTTCTCACCCTTCCAGCTCAGAACCAGGCCTTGTATCTCCTGCTCAGGAGTGCCATTTTCCCAGTTACAGCATCAGCTCACACATGGCTGACTGTGAGATGGTGGCTCAGGATGACTCCATGACTCCCTGCCACCAAGGGCTCCATTATGCACTGTTCCCCTTTCAAAGCTTGACTGCTCACTGATTGACCAATAGATTGTTTCTCTTTCAAGGATCAAGGTCCCACCTGTTAAACAAGACACTTTTCTTCATTGTCTTGTCAACCTGCTCAAACATGGATCAAATATGGCAGGGCCTGGGACACGACTCCAGTTCCTGACACAGTCATTTGGGAAATAATCCCATTGCTCAAACTCTCGTTTGGTGGCCAAGAGCCTCCTAAAAACACTTTCTTCTGTTTCTTTGTTTTGTTTGTTGTGTTTAATAGCATTCTGCTTGACTGCTGAACATCATTGGACTGAAGTTTGTGTTTACACAGTGAGTTCCTAGGGGTCTGATAATCTAGAATCCCAACTCAACTGCTTTTCTGGTTGCTAAAAACAGCTACCATAAAATTGCCTGTGGAATATAATTGTAGCTTTTATTTTCTTAAAGCAGAGCATGTTTGGAAAAACAGAGGGGTACATTTAAGGTACATGAAAATGATCTAGGAACAGGATCAGTTTGCATAACAAAAATAAAAGTATCTAAAATGGGTGGTTTCAAGACTGTATTTCAAAATCAGATGGGATAAGATGGCAGCTATGAATGCAGTTCCTGAAATATTTATTTTCTAGATGTCTCGCTAGGAAAAAGAAATAATGCAATTAAGGTTGGAACTTGAGAAAGGAGATGCTCTTTGTCAACATCTGGAGATTGAAATGACATTTGCTAGAAAAGAAGCTAATTTACAGCTCTATTCTGCAGAGCATGAACTGTGTGATGCAAAAACCAAAGTTATGGAACTTCAACGTAATCTTCAAAAAAAAAAAAAAAACAAACACAAGCCAGAGGATACATCAGTCCCAAGTCATTAAAAAAGCAGAGATTGCACAAGGTTTTACAGTGACAGTGTTTTTTGAAAGTCTCTTATTTTCTTATTTGCCCATGTCTTACTCATCTGCTTCTATAAGCTCATAAGAGTTTGCAAAACCCTTGCTGTCTCGTACCAATTAAATATAACCTGCTAAACCTATCAATACCTTTTTTTTTTTTTTCTCTTGCTCCTTACCTTCTGTTATTCCTTCCTTCAGTGGGTACAGAATTGTAATTAAGGAGTCCCTCTCCACATCCTGCTTATCACTATATCCAGCCATTCTTCCTTTTTATTTTCAGGGGGGAAAAACTAAAATCAAATCCTGTTTATTTGTTTATGCTCTTTCCAAAAACTTTTTCTTTTCCCCCAGGAGTTCTCATCATGCTGCTTTTCTCTTTCACCTTTTCAGATATTTCTGGCTTTTTGTTGCTCATATCTGGCCTCTTCATGTCATCTTTGGGTTTGTTTTTATACAAATAACATGGGTTATGACAGTAGTATGTGGAAAGGAAGGGTTTTACCTACATATTTTTCCCCTAGTAGTTTTGCATTCACAAACTCAAATTTTCTTAATCCTTCTCAAACAGAGAGAGATTTCTCACTCTTAAAAGCTGGGGAGTTTGTTTTTTTTTTTTTTTTCTTTTGTTTCCTAAGTAAATATAATACTGTTTAATTCAGTACAGGAAATGTGGTTTTGGTGTTCACTGAAAAGACTGGAGGACTCCTGGAGTTTGTAAGCTTACAAGGGTGGAAGGAGACTCTGAAACTTGAAAATGCATTTAAACTGCCATATTTTTAAAAAAAGATAATACGAATTCTGCACTTTCAGTCATTTGGAGAACACACAAATTACAGAAATCTTGGTTGCTTTAAATTTCTCAAGCTGTTTTTTTTTGGTTGGCTTTTTTTGTTTGTTTTATTCTTTGTTGTTTTGTTTTTCCCTGGTTTGGTTTTGATTGTGACAAATGTCAAAGAAGCCAAATAGTTGTAGTCTTCTTCTCATTTCTTTTTCAGTTTTTAACTTACTGCTTCTTCTTCCCTATCCCTTGGAGCCTTGCTCACCTCATGTGGTGTTTTTGATACAACCTCAACTTAACTTCTTGGACAGAGCACCTCACTTGTGCCCTTTCATTAGTATTTTCTCCAAGATATTTTTCTGCTGCTCTTCTTGAGGTTTGACTTCCTGACATCTGACAGGTCTATTCCATCATTGTGTCCACAAATTCTCTGTGATTTCCCAACATGTCTCTTCTGGTTTTCTCACCCTTCTCCATCTAGGAAGGAATTGCAGAAAAGTAGGATGAATTTGAAGTAAAAATCTCTTAGAAAGTGGTGATCACATAAATGCCAACATAGCTAGTTGTACTCAGTAACATAAAAAAATACTACGAAATATTTTGACTGAGTTTGTGAAATGAAGCAAAGTTCCTAGTGAAACTGCTTTTAGAAAAGAACTCTTCCTTGGCATTTAAGCTTTCACAGGGAAATAGATCCAGTATTTCCCTATCTTGGAGCAGCCATTGGGCTGAAGATTTAAATCTCTTGAGCAGCAGTAAATTTCCCCAGAAAAGCTAAGCCTTTGCTCATTAGCCCAACCTGCCTAAGGTTCTCCTAGAATCATTTTCATGTGGCAGGTGTCTGTCTCTATTGTTACTTAAACTGAGCTTGAAATTAATTGATACAGACTGAAATATCTCATAAATATTTGGCAATAAGCTACCCAAGTGTTACAGGAAAATGTAATTAAGTTCCCTATGCTATAGAGGCCTCACTTGAAAGAGTTGAATTTTTATTCCTTTCCAAAGGGAGAAGAGCTTAAATTTGAAATCTAATTTTTTGAAATCTAATTTTTTCAATGCTTTTGAGAAATCTCCAAAGCAATTCTATGTCCTTGTGTGAAAGATGCTACAGGAACACAAAATGTGATTGTTTCTCTGTAGTGAAACTGGAAGTCTTACCATTCCAGTGTTTCACAGGATACCACAATACACAGAGGAACTTATGTTCATTATACCTTTTTTTTCTGGACATGCTTATTTTTTTCTTTCTCTTTTTTTTTTTTTTTTTTGTAAACAACCGTAATGAATGACAACCATCAGCAGAAAGCATCAGGGACTGAGAAAAGAGTTCAAAGTGATCAGTGGCAGTTTCAAGAGGAGCAACAAAGATTTGCAGTGGAGAGGGATAACATCCACAGAGTACACCTTGCTGAGCTAGAATTCCTTTTTAAAGGAAAAGCTGAAGCAGCAATGGCTTTTCAGGTATGATGTAGTAATAAATAGAAAGTTCCATGAGATGCTGGCTGAAAGTTTTTTGATGCAAAGTGTGTGGTGGGTTGGAGTTTTTCTGGTTTAAGGGAGAAAAAAATCCCCCAAATAGCTAAATACTGCAGAATAGTTCTGAAGATTACAGAAGTCATGAAGTTACAGAATTATGAAGTTACACTTGGTGTGTAATGCTGGTTTGGGGCTTTGATGGAAGGTGTTGTGCCTGTTTGTCATGGGAAACACCTAACCCAAGTTATCAGTACACAGTGGTAGTGAAAACAGGAGCTTGTGGACAGGACAGGAGCTGTGGACAGGACCTAATGTCCTTCTCAAAAGAAGCCAGTTTTTATTCAAAGCTGATTCTTGCAAAGGTAGGGCAGGATATAGGCTGTGAAGAAGCCTACTTTTAGATAGGGTTTTCTTTTTTAAGTTGCCAGGGGCAGCAGGGTCAGCTCTGAGTTCTGCCTAACAGTGAGTGGCTGAGTTAGTTTGAGGAGGCTCTGGAAGGGTATTGCCTTCTGTTGTGCACAGTGTTTTGTAGAAGCTACCTTCAGAGAGTTTAATGCTGCATCAAAACTCAGTGTTGGAAAAGTATGCCATGCTCTGTCGAGTGATGTTTGTCCTTGAAAAAGGACAAAAGGAGCAGTGTATGGCTCAGGACATTGTCTTCTCTGTCAGTTCCTTGGCAGTGTTCTCTGACAGTGGTTGTAGAGGAAGGGGTTTTGTTGGTAAATGTATTAAAGCTAAAAAATTGTAGGAAATGTAATTCACATGAGTAGACTAAGATTGCCATGAATGCATCTAGCTCCTTAAACAGGCCAGAGTGAGCTGGAGGGTTTGAGAATCTTGATGTCACTGGACTCAGAAGTTTTCAGGACTTTCAAAACTCACTGCAAGGAAAATGCGATTCCCTGCTAGGTGTCAAACCCTAACCTGCCTTCAGTAGTAAAAATGTTACATTTTTCCACTTTGCTTTTGTAGCTGTTCCCCTGCCCACCACCCTAGAGTTATGTTATGTATAATTATAAAATGCTGGGAAATAAAAATCTTACATCTTGATTGTCCTTGACTGCATGGAAAGCTTAATTCATTTAAGCTTGTCAGAGGAACATCAGAAATATCTGGATTTATAAATGATGACTTTGAATGCATTGCAGTCTTTTGTGTTGTGTATTTATAGGCCCAGTTTAAATCCTTTAGTTATTCTGAGTTTTAAAATGAAATGAGTTCTAAAATGAAAGGAGATTTAATTGTGGTCTTAATACGTGCAGAGAAGTGGGATTCTGAGCATGTAGGCAAATCCTGGCTGGAAAAACTGCACTGCACAAACCGTAATTCTGAACTTGGCGGTGAAAATGCTGAGGTAGGCGTGGGAGTGGAGTCATGGAGTATTGAAATGTGCCTCTGGAACGAGCACATAGGAAAGATCACCCTCCCTGCTTTGTGACAGGATCTATTGGGCGGATCCTGGCCTGGGATAGGAGGGGTCGGATTCGGTAGGAAGGGCAATAGCATCAGCTCGTGGTTAGGCAGGAGTTCATATCCCTTCACGTTTTTTTCCTTCAAATACTTGGGAGATTGTGTCGTTCACAAACAGTTTAAAAAAAAAAAAAAAAAAACAAAAAAACAGCTGTGTTTTTCATAAGCAAATATTTGTATTTGCAGGTGGCTACGGGGATAGTATTCAACAGTCATATCACCTCCAAAAAGTTCAGAAATTCTTCAAAATTCTGAAATCCTACAGCTCATGCCGACTTGTTTAACCAGCTTGATATACTCACAATAATTTTAGTTTTCTAATGTTAATTATATTTCCAGTAGAAAATATTTAAAAATTTTTTGTTGTATTTCACAGCAAACTATTTGTTACTTATTTCACATTTCCCAGTTCACATTTGTTAATATTTGGAAGATAAACCTGAAGAAATAAATATTTCTCTATCTTTCCAGTTATAGAGAAGAAATGTTAGAAAAGGTAGAAAACAGGTAGTTCATTTTGGCTTCTTTATTTCTTTATTTTGCATTCTGAGGGGTAGAAGCCTGTCTTGCTGGATGTGCAAAGCTAGAGGATTAGCTTAAATTTAATCCAAATTCATATGGACAATGGGGATTCTGTAGCAGTGACTTCATGGAGCTGCAGTGTCCAGTAATGTCAGTAATGCTTCCAGCCTCTAGCTGAGTTCAATTTCTGTATGCAGAAATTGAAGTGGGGACCATCTTCTTTTATTCTACTGAGGACTTCATAAGTTTTGAACCTCAGTTTCTAGAAAGAAGAAAATGCTTTTCAGAAAAGCAGAAATCAAAATTATTTAGTCTGTGGGACTAACTGTTTCTAAAAACAGCTGAAGTTTCAGCAATCAAAATCATTACAAAAATGAACTTATGTCCCCATGCATAATTTCCCCAAGTGACCTCTGTTTCTATCATTGCCACTGAGCTGGGAGACAGAAGAGATTGGAAGGGCTGTACTCTTTTAGGGAAAGGTTTCCAGTGGAGATCTGGCTCTGATTTTAGTGTTACCACAGAAGATCATGTTCACAGTGATTTTTGGGCCAACACAGATTTCTTGGTGGTGAATCAAAAGCACGTCTGCTGTTGGGTAAACACTTCTGTTGACGGGTGCTGGCGTCGTAGATTTTAAAATCCTAACATCATCTTCTGATGCAGTCTCCATTCCTCTCAAACTGCAGTTGAACTCTCAACTGCAATACTTTATCTTAGAAAAAGTGCCTCTTGATGTATTGATTTATTCCTTTACCTATTTATCTTTAGAAAACTAATGCTGCCCTGCAAAGCATTGCCAAGAAGTTGAAGGATATGGAGGCAGAGCACAGTGGCTGCACCAAGGTGCTGAAGCTCCAGGCCGCCTGTCTGGAAATCAAGAATAAACGGCAGGAGAGGCTCCTCCAAGAACTGGAGGTAAAGCTTTCTGCCTGCTGCTGGGAGCCTCAGCAAGCACTGGCACAACTGAGCAGTTTCATTTCTGAGGGGTGAAACCTCTGAGTTAGGCTATGGGTGCCCCGTGTTTGATTAATAAAATGCAGAGCATCACTTGGCAGGAAAGGTGGATTCACAGGTGAATGCTGCGAGCCTGACCTGAGAGTGGTGTTTGAACTGCAGATGGAAAGGGGGTTATGTCACTGGGAAAGTACTCTTAGCAATATGGGTACAGAGGGAGTATTTGCGCAGGATTTGTGATTTTTTAATTTTTTATTGAAGCATCTTAAGCAGATAGATCTTGTGGGAGGAGGCAAAGCTTAAGCCTTTTGGCTGATGCTTTTGTGGGTTTTGTAAGCTCTGTGCTGTGACTTTCTCTTCAATAGGCCTTCCACAGATCTCTGTTTCTCAATTATTTCCTTTTGTGAATGTGTGAGCTAATACAGAGTTTAAATTTATTGCCAACAGCTCGTATGTTCATTTTATGTATTTATTTATTTTTCAGTTAACGTTTCCCTAACTGAAGTGCTTAGAGTTAGGATTCAGTCTCACATGCTTGCTCCTCTGCTTTACCTGTCCAAAATCAATGACTTGACTTGTATCTGTGTAACCTTGAGTGTCTTAAATTACTTTTAATATGAATGTCCTTTTCTTCATCTTTCTGGCATCACTTGAAGGCAGAAGTCATTTTGGGGTGTATTGTTCTTTTCAAATCAATCATCAGTCAAAGTGAGATGATGCTTTTGAAAGGAAACAATGTAGTTGAAATTTCCTGGGAATTTCTATTATAGAGGCTCTGTAGTTACTGCTTCTGCTAAAACCATTTTTTCAACTGAAATACCATGTCCAGGCCTTTATGTAGAGACAGGTATCTGTGACTATAAAAACTGTAGCAAGAACATAATCCTACATCAATTTCTTTAACTAAATAGAAAATATGACTTTAATATCCTGGATATGTAATTGTTTCCTTTTATTTATTAATTGACATGAGTTTTCACAGTTCCAAAGTGCAAGTAGTTCAGATACCACAGGTTGGTTTATGGAGCCCTAATAAACTGAAGAAATTAAGTTGTCTTTGCATGATGTTATCATCTTTCTGGACTTAGATATTTTTTAAATGTACTTCCTTTTAGGCAGCTGCAGTGAAAATAAAGGAACTGGAGGATGATGCTGCAGCAGCAAGACGAGCACATGTAGAATGTAAATACACTACAGAAGTCATGCAGGTAAACTTTTGATTAAATATTTGGTAGAAGTTTGCAGTAAAATAGAAGATGAAATTGTAAAGGTGCAATTTTCTAAAAATGTTAAGATTTCCTTGCTCCAGGGGAAACACTGAGCAGATTTTTTGCAATGATTGTCAAGACTGTAAAAAGTAATAGAAAAATATCTCCTTGATTTCCAGGGAACCATCACGTTAATAGAATCAATAGTCAAATAAAATGTCACATTCTTGTGTTTTACAATTCAAAGGAGCATTGAAAGAGTGAGGGAAAAGGAAATGTTTCACAGTAGTTAAACTGCTAAAATATTCTGTCCTATATCTTTGGAATGGGCACTTAGGTAATTTCAGATAGAGTGCATTCACCCAGCTTCTCTAGGTGTGAGATATTAATGCATCCTGAGACTGCAGTTCCAAATGTAACTATTCAGAATACATTTCAGCTATTACATCTGCTGTTACCAGAAAAGTTTGAGTATATGAAAAAATGCGATATGCATACTTGAATATTAAATTTTTGTATTACTAAACTGTGTCACACAGGGTTTGATCCATTAAAGCAATTAGGGTTTATTAAAAAAAATAAGTGAAAAACCCTGTAAGATAATTGTTGAGTGATCCTGTACTGACTAACGAAGCCTTCCTAGTGGATTTTTGAAGAACTAAATGAGAAAACAAAAGGGAATTTCATATTTTTTTTCTGGTTTTCTGAGGAACACAAACAAACATTGCCACTTCTTCAGTCAGTTATTTTCTTATGACCTTCTCTAAGTACAGGCACTTGGATTTCTGAAGTGATGATTAAATAAATTGTGATGATTCAGGTTCTGTTATTCCCTCTCTACTTTTACAACATACAAAGGAGCTGGAAAAGTAACATTCCGTGAAGTTAGAGATTTATCTTTTATGGGTGAAGAGGTCAGAAGGTTTTCTTCCTTGTTTATGTACATGAACAAGCTCCACATGAGCTTTGCTCTGAGTGCAAGTGTAGCTTTTACTGTTAATCCCACCCTTTTATGACTCTACTTCATGAATAGAATTCCCCTGGAAAACTTCTGTGATATAAATAATGGAAAGCAGGAAAATCCAAACACCATGCAAGGAGAACCAAATGTGCTTTTGGTCAACATATCTATTTCTTTCTGTTTTGAACTCTGTGTATTAATCCATTTTTATGTGTGTTAAATGCTTTCTAATTCCATATAGAATTAATAGAAGATATTCACCTATAAAAAGCAGAACAGAACAGTGAACAGCATTCAAGACCATGGCAGTCTTTCCTAACTTCCTTTAACTGCAGTCCTATCACTTGGTAGTTGAGAATTCAAGAACTCGAAAGGATTTTGAATGAAGAGCAATGCGGCAGGAGAGAAGATTTTCCAGAAGGGATAGCAAGGGAAGATTTCAGAGAGCCAGTAAATGCACTTGAGACAGGGAAAAAAGCCTAAGTTTCCTTTTGAAGCCATTGCAAAATGGCAGTAGACAGCCTCAGTACAACTCGCAGTTTACAGTCCCTGCATTTTTCAGTCAGCAGAAAATCTGGTGCAATGTGCCAAACCAAACTAAAGGTTCAGAACCTGGCAGTCCATTAATAACAGGCCCATATCAGTAACCAAAGGTATCGTGAATGGTACAGATAATAACTGGCCTGTTACAGATTATTTGCCAAACCAAAAATTTTGAAAATCATAGTTATGGTTAGGTCCAGCCTGCAGCAGTGGTTGGGGTGAGTGTAGGAAAAGATATCCAGCAGGTCTAGAAAAGATGGCTTTTCTATATACACTGATATTATTATGAAAACATTGTTTTCCACTTCAGTGAGTCAGTTGGATCTCTAAGACTCCTGTCAAGAAGTTCAAGTGTATCATTTATAGTGGATAATCTTTGTTTTCAACTTTTGAATGGCTGTAGAAAGCTTTAAATGGTTAAAAAATATTGAAATGAGTGAGAGCAGAGGAAATCTCTTGGGATGTTTCCTGGCCAGCACAGTCTGCTGTGCCTGTGGTAGCAGAACTTGGGTGAGCTCTCTTTCAGCCTAGAGCTATATGGCTCTGTATACTCAGGTGTTTATGTTGACTTGCACAAGTAGTAGTGGAGAATGAAAGAAACTGGTTTTTCCTACAAGAAAGGAAGTTTGTGGCCTGAGCAACTCATACAAGATTCATGGTGATGGAGATGTTTTTTAGTAAGATACTTAAAACTTGAGCTGGAAAAGCCTTTGTCATCCTCTGCATCAAACATCAATTTGAAGCAAGCTTTTGGTTTTCCTGACACTGTGCCTAAATACTCAGGCAATCTTTTAAAATTCTTCCTTGGATTCCCTCTCTGTACTTCTGTGTCCTTTATGCTATTGTTTGGCCTTGGAGTTTCCTCATCAGCTGCCTGTTTAGTCATGCCAGGCTCTTGATATATCTGTTTTCCTGACTGACACAGTACAAGAACAGATTAAAATTCTGGGCAGTCTGCTTTAAAAGCCAGACACAGTAGAGTCAGGCATGTGGAAACTTTAAGAGCAAGAACTGTACTTGAAATCAGCATTGATGATGCAAGATGTGACATGGTCTCTCTGAAGACAGCTGTTGTGTTAATTAAAATATGAAAAATTCTGTTATTTATATGTAACTTTGAGGCCACATCCAAATAATCTTATGAATTGCATGTCACGAGGCTTGGTAACTGAAAATATTACCTCTTGAAAAATCGTTCTTAGAAGGAATATAAATTTCTTCATTCAATTCAGAAAGGCAAGCAGCTTCAGAATCCATGTGATGTGCTGAAGTAGTATCTGCCAAATCCATTGATTATCCTTTAAAAGAACACAGGGCATTTGACAAAAGTAATTTTGGTTAAAGTATCTTTTTTGTGGAAACTTTCCAGTTCACAAAGACAGCGTTTATCCTCCGGTGTGCAATGGAAAGACCAGGTTGAGGAAAGGAAGAGAGCTCAAGATTCCAATGCAACATTAGTGGCTCCTCCAGACAGCTTCAGCCTGCATGAAGGCTCAATAGTAAGGAAAAAGAGCCTCCATAGGAAATAGTAAATTGGAAAAAAAGCTCAATAGTAGGGAAAAAAATGTGGCACACTGTTGCAGTGTGATGCCACTTCCTGTTTCACCTCTCCCAACCCCTCAGGTGTGCCAACCTTTCCTTTCCCCTTTTGCCCTCCTGCTAAGAGCTGTCCATCAATCTTAACATTCCAGCAGGGTCATGGTGTGGTTGGCAGAAGTTCAAAAGATGCCCCTCAGGTCCGGGCTCTTTGGCCTGTCCAAGTGTCTGTATCCCTTGAGCCTTCCCCTCCTCACACCTGGTTGGTGCCTCACCTGTCCCTTCCCCTCCCCCTGTCCCCGGGGCTTAAAAGGAGACGGGACCATGCGGTTGGGATTCTACTGGGAGCTCTTTCAGAGGTCTACCATCCTGGAATAAAACTCTGGATTAAAACTCTACGATAGAATCCTCTCCTTTCTCTTCACTGTCGCCTGAACCTTTTCCACCAGAGGTAGACTGAGTTTCTACTATGCCTGGATTTGTTGCGAGTGCGCAGCTGCAGCACCCAGCCGGCCAAAGGTATCTCTGAGGTGAAACACCACAGCTGCTGCCTTTGGTCCAGCAGCAAGGGTCAGGTGGGGCCAGGCACGTCCCACCCAGAAATATTGGATTAATCATCTATAGCACACATTGCTTAGGTTTTTTAAAACATACTGTCAAAACATTTACTGAGGTGAGGATTTGCTGCATTTGCTGCGCTGAGCTGTAGAAGAATTCTGCCATTCTCTCACCCTTGTTGTTATTATGTTACCTTTAAAAAAATTTACTACATGAATAAATGTAACCAATGCCTTGGAGAAGCTAATTTGAAAATATTTTTTAAGTATGGGTAGGATGTGTCACTGTCGAGGCGGTCACGACATAAAGCAGAGACTACAAGCAGTCTCAGTTGGCAACACTTTATTATTGAATATGGCTGATTTTTATACACTTTTCAATTGTTTATTTTTCTTCTATCTTTACTATTGGTTACAAGAAATCAACGTAATACTATTGGTGAAAAGTTATGGTGACTTAATTAACTTTCTAAAAATGTTTCATCTAGCTGCAAAGTTCTTCTATTTTTCTTCCCTCGGTCTCCTTGGCTACAGCTTTGGAGAGAGCTCTTTATCAGTTTCTTCTTACTTCTCAGCTTCTTCTCGCTCCTTTAGCTAACAGGCCCGCTGTTAGCCCCTTCCACAAGGATGTACTGGCATTCCTAATTAAGGCATTTTGTAGATATTGATGATCATTTCATGTGAAGAATGTTCTTTCTACCTAACTTTTTTGTCAAGTTTCATTAGCTATCATTATAGAAATGTTTATTTCTATTTCATACACCCTTTTAGTTTTAGTGCAAGTATTTGACTGTAAAAATTGCTTGAAAATTGTTTCAAGCTTTCAGGTGGAAAAGCAGAGAGGATTTTTTGTTGTTGTTTTGTTTTTTACTTGTTTTGCTGTGGATTTGGCACATTGGATGTATTTTGCTGGATTATTTTCTGAACACTTTCTCCTTTTATATGACCACTTTGGGCTTTTCTACTCTCTTTACCCAGCTACACCTTGAATAACACGTTTGCCATCTTTTTGCATAGCAGCAGGGACAAAGGAAAGTTGTCAGCATGTTTAGAAAATCTCTCCTTTCATTGTGTGGTTACATTTGCTCTCTTTCTACTCTTAGCAATATACATTTTTTTTTTTTTGATAGTGGCTTGGAAACTTCTCCTCTTTCTCTGTCAGAGCTCTGAGCATGGAAGGTGCATGAGGTCTGTTCCCTGTGGACAGGAGCAGAGACCTGCATCAGAGAGTCTTCAGATTTGTGGGTGTCTTTTGTTCACTTGATGGAGTTAGTCCACACTTTGTCTTAGTGCTGTCCACTGCCCAGGCAGATCTGTCATTCATAAACTGGAGGCAAATAAAATCAGGATCCTCTTTTTTCTTTCTGGGAGAATAACAGCTTCTTCCATGCAAGCATTAATGTATTAAAAGACATTTGCTGGACTACTTAGCCTGAAAAAGTCATTTCATCAGGCACAAAAGGAATACATACAGAGAAAAGCAACTGTCTGCCCTAACTACAGGCATTAATGATTGCTATTTCTAACTACAAAACACAATTGCAAGCTGAAAATATTCTACTGAAGTGCTTGCTTCCAAACGTGAAGTGCTTGCTAGCTGTTGCTGTGGTAGGAGTTTTCCTTTTTATTTGTATTCCTTAGTAAAACATGTGACATGACAAGAACTATGGACAAGATTCCATTCATGATCAAGATTTCTGGTAATGGAAACAGTATTTAATGCTAGACTCAAAATTAATGTTACGTTATTGAAAGGTTAAAAACTAATAATAATTGTCTCACTGTCATATTCATAGAGCTGGTTGTTTTAATTATTTTACTCAAAGGATTTCAAACCACAAGACTGTCCAGAGCAGGTCATTTTTGGAAGAGTTGTATTAGTGGTTGCCTTATGAGATCAGGTATTTATGGCCTTGGATGGCTTTTCATTTTTCCCAAAGCTGTTTGTATTTGTTTGGGAAGCAGAAGTGCCTGTATGTGATCCTGTTTACTCCATTGAGATAGCTCTGATTTTGCTGCCCAAAATGAAAAAGCAGAAGACTGTAGCAGAACCTAAGTATAGATAACATTTAATATATTGCTGTTGGTCTTTGCTATACCCATACTTAAATTGGGTAAAAATGTCAGTGTGTTCTCTTCCCTTCATTTTCCCTTCCTGCTTTCCTGACCTGTACAGTATTTTTTCATATTTTGTACCATTTTTATGCTTCCTGAATATGCTCTTTCCACTCCAGTTGGATAATCTTATCTTGATCTCTGACTGTACTAAGACAGCATTTGAGAAACAGCTTTCTATTATCTTAGCTTAAAAAGTTTCTAAGGCCCTTGTATGTACTAAAAGTATGAAGAATTGAATTTCTACTGCATGTTGTTGTTGCTGAAATTTATTTAGAATCTGAATCAATTTCATATACCACTGATTAAAATCACTGTTAATAAATGAGGCATGGCTTGTGGAGTTTGACTGATGGAGCTGTAGGCCCATTTTGGCCAGCTGTTTAATCATATCTAATCCATGCAAAACAAGTTTTTAAAGGAATTTAGAGTGTGTTGTGCTGCCAGGCCAACTGGACAGTTTTCTGTGTGCTGTGCAAGTGTTGGGGCACAATTTGGAGGCACCTCAAGGTATTAACATGGGTGAATGAATTGCATCCACTAAGAGCATGGAAATTTTTATCTGTGCCAGGTCTTGGTTGTGGCCCCCACAGGACTGGGATTTACTCACATACTTTATTTACATACTGTGTCTAATTAGATAAATTTTGGGAAATCTCTTTTCTTACTCTGCTGTAATCTTATGCATTATTATGGCTGCAATTATTAGAAATGAACTGAGGAATTTTGTGAAGCTGTGAGAAGGAGCCTTGAGGGCTCCTTTTCAGCTGCAGGCAGCTCTGCTACCACACATAGGATGCATCTCTTTTGATTTGAACATTGCCCAGCTACAGCAATTAATTTTTTCCTTTGTGTTCCAGAGGGAGATGTCCATCCTCCTGAACTTATACCAGACCCTGGCAAATGCCCAGGTGCTTTCCAGACAGACAAACGTCCCCCTGGAAGAGTTACCTTGGGCAGAGCTTTGTGCCCTCTTGCATGAGAATGTTGAAGCCCTGGTCTCGAACTTCAGCAAGGCCAACCAGAGGGTGAGTGTCCCCAGGCATCAGCTGCCTCTGCTGAGCTCAGTGACATTTGCTCACACTGCAGTCTCGTTAAAAAGGACTGATATTCATCCCCCCAAAAGGATCTGGACACTAACAAATGAGCACCATTAATTCTGGCTTGTCCACTGCTCACTTTGTTGCCAGGGGCATTTAGATGTGACTGGAGTGTGCATCAAGTCTCTCAGCTCCACCTTCTGTGCAGGATATTCTGAAAGGACAATCTGATAGTAGCCACAGGGACCTAATTAAAAGATAATAAATTCATCTTACTGATGAAGAAATTCTCTGAACATAGTCATTTACAGTCATAAATCAAGTCTTTCTTTTACTAGAATCCAGAGGCAAAATACACTTTCTCCAGGAATATCACCTTTTAATTATGTGTTTATGATTCAGTTGTACTACTTGAAAGAATGCCAGTGTGGGGTTTTTTTGTTGAATTGTAACTTTGGATTATGACATTTTTATTCAGAAACACAACAGAAATACCTATTATAAAACATGTCAGGATCTGCATGAAGGAAGAGTTGTACTTTTCTGAGTGGTTTTAAAGCAAGTGAGCTTACATGGCCTTTCTCCCCAGAAAACCTTCTGCTTTTATGAAGGAAAAAGCCCCTTTTAAAATAACTCAGCTGGCTCCAGAGACTAAGCTATGCCTGAAGAGCTCTTTAGGGTATTACTTTGTGTTCTGGTTTATTTCTCTTTTGAAGTAGATGAGGAAAGGGAAGGGAAGGTGAACACTGCTGGCAGCATTTGTAGGGCTTGTGTCTTATTGTTGCTTGCTTTTTAGTTAGGCCTTGTCATTGAGACTGATTATGAGGTCTCTAGGGCTCTTCTCATGTACTTAGCAGCTTTTCTGGGCTTTTAGACTGTGCTGAAAAAACTTTTTTTCCACACATTCAGTGTGGTCTATCTGGAAGTATCTTGATATTTTCTAGGAACAGAAAGTTCAGGTGTGTGCATTTGAGGATCATTGTTGGCTTGGTTCATTCCTCCATTTAGCTTGCATGAGGTGCAGTGTTCAAGCACAAGAGTGAATCCCTTCATGTTTGTTGAAAATACATCCTCAACTTATGAGCTACTTGTAAGGAAAAAATTCTCTGTGCTAGAATTCCCTGAAATTGTTTTAAAACTTAATAATAAGCTGGAATCTCTTGGCTTTTCAACAAAAGAAAAAAAAACAAAAACCACAAACAAATAAACAAAAAATTAAAGGCTGTGCTTTAATTATTGTTTGCAATCATCACAAACTTCTAAAGGATATACTTGGATTACTAATTTCCTAAAATTGAATACGATCATTAAAAAAAAAAAATCTATGACGTGTCTGGCTCAGGTTTCCTGCAAAGAGGGTGACAAATATCTCTGCAAGCTGGTAGAAGGATAGCAAAACTGAAACCAAATAAAATACTTTGTTTCAAAATACATTTCAGTTTTGTTTTCAGAACCAAGTAATTCACCTGCCATTAGAAGGGTTTTACTTAGTTTTAATAAAAATATTGAAAAAACTGCAGTTTAGATTTGATGCTGGAATAGGCTGTGCTTAACCTGAAGTGAAAAGGTAAATAATAATTTCTTCTTAAATGCTTGTCACACGGATAGCTCACCTAGAATATATTTGCAAGCACAAGACTGACACTATGAACGACCTTCAGCAGAACCAGGAGGAGGCTTTGGAGAAAATGTCTGAACAGTTAAAAGCACAGGAACACTGGTGGCGGAAAGAAAAGCAGTATCCTGAACAGCAGTACTCAAACGCCCTTGCAGAAGTTCATGCAAGATCACAGGTATGGTGCTGTGAACTTCTAATTGTTTTTTCTTTAAAAATTGAATGGATTATTTCAATAGTTGAAGCCTCTTAGCAGTTAAAGGTCATTTGGGAATTTTAGTAGACATTTAAAGTTTGAAAAAATCCAAAACCAAACAACAAGCCAACCCATCCCTGTGCTAATATTAACATCACTCAAATAAGAAATAAATGACTTTGATCAAGCATTTGTTGAAGAGAATTTAGTCTGCAGGCCCAGCTGAGAAGCCTGATTTCACCTACAGATGGCAGATTCTTTTTCTGAGAATGTTAAAGCTGTAAGATCAAATTGGCTTGTTTTGAGAATTACTGAGGGCAGCAGCTACTTTTTCAGCAGCATCATTTGCAGAGATTGTATAGAATAACAATCATGTGGATAAACCTGGGGATAAATTTAGTTACATATGTACTGACCCTAAGAGCAGTGGTAGATTTCAACAGTGTTAAGCAACTCTGTTTTTCTGATACTACAGTGAGGAGTGGCCTAAAAGTGTGAAACTGTCACTCCTTGCTAGATGAGTTATTTGCAATCCAGAATGTTCCCTGTTCTTCCACAACCACCATTTACTGTCTTTATCATCACACTCCTTCGCACCTGTTTCAATTAAAAGCGTTGTGAATAAAGGAAATAGATGTCCCTTGTTATTTGTGAGTTACTGCAACTTACTTCACAGAATAATGCTGTATTTGATGCGGATTTCAGGACTGGAAGTCTTTGCATGCTGAAAAATTTAATCTGTCTACTTTCATGTTCCAGACTTCCTTATGTTTTTCCTCTCACTTACACTGGGGCTTTCTGCTTGGTACAGCAGTGTTCTCTCTGAAATTGGAGGATGTTATTACTATTGTTAAGTCAATTCATAAAACTGTATTATGGGCAGACAGGTGGTGTTGGACCTTCTGTGAGCTGTCATGGTGTTGGTGGATTGTTTTCAGAAATCAGGAGTCCATTTGCAATTGATTATCATGGAAATTTCCCTCCTACCACTGTTTTTGTTTCAGACATCTAATTCTGTAATTGCTTACTAGAAGAGATACTTTCATCACGATTATTACTAGCAACTTTTGCTCCTTTAGTGCATCCTTTGAATGGCAAAGCTAAATTTTCTTTTCATTCTTGTCTAGGTAAAAACCACATAGTTATTGTTTCTTCCATTATTGTTTGGTTTGTTTCTGTCGCAGGAATGTGAAGAAACGGTGCAGAAAAAGAGGCAAAAACTCTATGGCCTTGAACAACTCTCTGACAAACTGGCCCAGGAAAACAATTCCTTGAAGAATTCATTATTAGATGCTTTCAAGGCACGCTCATCCCTGCTGGCAGCCTGTGCGCTGCTGTCAGGGGCCCTGTGCTCTCTCTACGGCCGACTGTGCGCCACGTCTTGCCAAAGAGACATTCTCCAGGAACAGGTGAACCAGCACCAACTCCTGAACCGCAAGATCGTCAGCCTCCTTTATGCTCTCCCTGCTGTGGTGGAAAGAAACCAGGACGAAGGCAGGCTGAGGCAGAGAAGAGCCAAGAACCTGGTTTATGTGTTCCGAAGAGCTGTGATCGCAGTTCTGGCTGCTAACAGGCTGAGGGCTCTGGCCCGATATTCTTGTACCTTTTTCATCTGGACAGATGGATGCAGAGGAAGCTCTGGAATTCAAGTTTGTCTGGGAGAATCCAGAGGCAGGCATCCTGTGCCATGTAAGTGAAATCTTCTTAAAGAGTTAAATCAAATTACACGCTTAGGGAATAACAAAGAGGAATAATATTTTTCTTGCTGGGGCATAAAGACATATTTAACGACATTTTGACAAATGTTATTTACAGATTTATGTTTTTATATTGCTTGACGAATTGATTTCAATCTAAGAGGAAATGCCCAGTCTTATGTTAAACATTGCAGGTAAAATTGCAATTATGCACATGAACTCAACACTATCTGGTGGTTTTGATATTTGTGTTATGGATTTCAGAATTAGGTGCTACAGCATCTTCTCTGTGGTAAATATCTTGCAATGTTCCTCTTTTTTTTTTTTGGAAAAGGTATTTCCTCTTTTTTTAAAAATAATTTTTCATATTTATTTCCTAAAAATCCACAAAAATTGCTTTCTGATTCAGGTAAAATATTAGCATAGGATTTCAAAATTTTCTTTCGAGATTATGTCTAGATTGCCCCTTTCTGTTGCCAGACCAGTTTAGATTTCCCTCTACAATGATAAATGGCATTAAAAATGTTTTCCAAATTAGAAAATTCATTGACTTTTTTTTTTTTGAGTCATTCTGAAAGCACGCTTAAAACAGTCAAAATTGTCCTGACTGATTTCTTGTTTATATGCTTATTTTTGGTTAATTTCTGAAACAGCTGGAGGCAGCAGTGTGCCATAGTTTAGTGATTTACTTATCCTGCTAGCTGCAATTCTGTTTCACAGGTTTTGCAGAGGAAGGAGTTGACTGTATTGAAGCACTTCACTGGTTGTCTAGCTCTAACCTCTAGACTGCAATAATCAGTTCCATCTCAGAACTGCAGGGTGTTCTCAGCAACCAAGGTAATTTTAACTGTATATTGTTGTAGCAGAAATATAGTTAAAAAATAAGTAAGTCAGGGTGGTCATATCATTTCCATTTTTATGATTTTATCTAAACTCTTCTGGATCATAGCTCTGAAGAGATATTTCTGATATTTCTGATAGACGCCTTTGACTAGAGGTTATATCCTGAGCTAGTCAATTGTAGCTAGTCAACAAATTGTAGTGGGGCTGTTTCCCTGAAAGAGTAATTTGATTACAGGGTAAAATAGTTCCTCTTTTCTACATTCTCTGAATGATCACATTTCTGTACTGTAGGAACAGATTCATTTTCTTAAGCAGCTGATAGGATATTTTATCCTTTCAGTATATAGATTCATGGAAGCTGAAGGCTGGAGAGTGTTTCTGGACTTTATTTACAGTGAGAACTGATACAGGTTCCCTTGGTTCATCTGCATTTCTGCCATCCCTGGTTCTTTATTAACCTCTACTTTTAGAATCCCCACATTTTTGTCCCAGAAGAAAGGATCTTAGAAGAGGGATAATTTATGTGAATGAAGGGAAATAACAGGACAAAGACAAGATGATGCATTTTCCAGAAGCCTAGACCCTAAATTGGTATCAAAGTTGCCATTGAATCAAATGGGTTTGGATTCACTTTCAGGCCCTTTCTTCTTTGATCATGCTGTTGTCAAGAAATTGAATTCATATCCTTTAAAAGCAAAGTTGGAACACTGGTTCAGATTCAGCATTCTGTGTTTCAGAATATTTACAGCTTCCATCCTGTAGAAGTGAAAAAGAACGTGATCTTACAAGAAACGGGAACTAATAACCTGCTCAATGTTTGCTTTGTCTTGTTTTTTTCTTCAAGATTCGGAGCTCTGGCTTTCTAGTAACTCGCTGATCGGCACAGCCAGGAACTGCTTTACACAACTGATGGACAACCTGAGCGTTCTGATGGAGACAGTTCAAGGGAACGCTCGTGGGTGCAGAGCCTACCTGGAGAGGGACTCGCTGATAGAGAGGCTGGCTCGTGGCCTCCAGAGAGTAAATGCCCAGGCCCTGGAAGCTGGATTCCATGACAGACTGCCCAGCACAGTAAGCAGATTGACAGTCCTCCTTCATGGAAACAGAAGGTTTACAGCAACGGTGAAGCTCCCTTGATAGCAGCATTTCTTTGGTTTCAGGCTGGTGATGAGTCCAGGACAGTCAAGTGCTACTATATGGACACTCCACAAGTTGATTTGTCACACATTAGGGTGTGAATAGGTCTTTTGTTTTATTGAGAAAGAATTCTTGGAGGAGGTTTAGTGTATCCAAGTAAATGATTTTTTTTCAAGTTCTATCAGATCTGTATTAGCTTATAAGAACAAATTGGCTTGATGTAAATGTTAAGGTTGCTTTTTATTATTATTTTCTACTTTCTCATGCTTACCATCCTTTCTTTCAGTAAAGATAACCTTCCCTTTAACCAAAATGAAAGGATAAACTCTTTCCCTAATCATCTTCATAGTAAACCTTAGGTGAAAAGAGTAGTTCCTTGTAAACAGAATTTGCAGTAACCCTTGGTAGGTGACAAGTTCTAACTTTTGTCCTTGTGCATGTCTTTTAGAGATGGAGGAAAAAATTATGTTTTCTTTTTCTTGAGTCTTAAGTCTTATTTATTTGATTGCTAAAATAGCAGATTTTATAGCCCATCAACTTGTTTCTGTTTGCTGACAGAGAAACATAGCAACTTTGCAGCAAGAAATATTTGAATTTTCACAAAGGCTTCATGCAGCAGAGATAGAGTCCCACTCACTGCACCTGCAGCTTGCAGAATGCAGATGGGCTTTCAACGAGATGCAAAAAGATGCTGAAAAACCCCACAGACTGCAGAGCCAATTAAGTGAAGTTCAGCAAGTAAGTGCATTTGACTTGGAGGCTCTCTTGCTTAATAGAGATTCTCCTTTCTACAGTTTTTGATTTGTGTTCTTTTGGAAAACAAGCATAAAATTGATTTCCTTTCAACAGAATTTTCCAGAAACCTTTGCAGCAATGCGGCCGTGAGAAAGACGTCCAGCTAGCCGACCAGCACCGCTAGCAGCACAGGGGGCACTTGTCCCCATAGCTCAGCTTCGGGACAGCGCCTAAGGCCAACGCCCAGCTTGCGGCTGTCAGCGTTGCCTTGTGCAGGACGAGACCGTATTGAAGCTGCAACCAGCGCAATAAGAGGGCAGACTCCAACTGCGGTTTTATCCAGGGTTTAGGGAATCCCAGGGGAACCAGCAGGAGAAGATGGGGAGGAGGGGATTTACAGCGGTTTTTAAAAGCTGGAGGAGGTAAGGGAGGTGCCAGACCTAGGACCAATAGAGACACAGTGGGGAGTGGGATCCGAAGGACTGAAACAGGGAAAACACCAATGGGGACAATACTGAGGAGGGGCCCCGGTCCTTGGACCAATCATCCAACTCTCCAGCTGGAAACTTCTAGCAACAAGGGTGGGGATGGAGAGTGACTGGCAGGGCACCGGGGAGGGGTTGAGAAAAGGATACATTGGTTTCTGGGGTACCCGCAGAGGAGTTTTAAAGGATACAATACCAACTGGGATGGAGTTAGGGTGACAGACACTAACAGGGATGGGAGGGAGAACCAGGGCAGAACCATTGTCAAACAAGGGGGGAACAGAACAGTCCAACTTTAACCGAACACGGTACAACAAACCTTGCCTGGAAATGTCACTAAACCAAAAGACAGATTTATTTAGAAATATCCCTTTTCCACTGGAGTTATCTTTTGATTTGTAGAAGGAGGTATCCTGTATAAATTAGAGTTTGGTCTTCAGCAATCCAGGTTCTATCATTTGTTGGAAATGTTGATCTGATTTATGTATCCTAAAAGAAGATTTCACTTCAACAGAGTAAAGTCAGTGGGAATGGGGGTATTCAATAGGAATGTTAATGAAATATAAAGATAGCAGTTGAAACTCTGTATGGATGTTGATGAATGTTATAATAAATACAATACAAATTTTAGCGGGTCTGTTTCCCTGAAGAAGTAACTTTATGGCAGGGGGAGGAAAAGCTTTTGTCTAGATTCTCAGTAGCACAAAATTCCCCTGAGTCTTTTGCTGTTGCTGATTGACTTACCAAGACACTGTGGGTTCCCTAACCTGAAGCCTAGTTGGTAGAACCTGTCAGGGTGTCCCAATCCAAACATTTCTAAGCAAAGAATATCTGCTAGATGATGTCTCACCCATTGTCCTTCCTATTCTTAGCTGTAGTAAACCCCATAGATTTAGGAAAAGCACCATGGAGGATATGAACAATAGGAATGCTGAAACAGCAAAAGAAAATTCCTGTTTTCCTGTCCTCCACCCCTTAACCTATCTCTGTAACCCTATAAGACAATGTCATGTTAACCCCTTTCCCATTGGTCAAGCTTGGAGCCTTCCCAACCCTATAAAAGAAGCATACTGTACCCCATTAGTGGAGAAAGAAGAAGAGCAGAGACCCTTCACGGACCTCCCCAAATAAAGCCATCTCCATGGAACAGCCTGCGCCTTCTCCTTCTCCTCTCTCTCCGTCTGCTGCAGCCTCAAGCCCAGGGCACCACTACCTAGCTAGCCGAGCTGAAATCCTGAGAGCTTGCAATCACTATAGAGCTGATAATCACCATGCTTGCTAGATGGCAGCCCTGCGGCGTTGGCATGAGCGAGCCAGCCTCAGGCACCCAGTCTCTACCCAGGGACTGAGCTCCTGAGCCCTATTGCTCTGCTTTATGATAAGGCCGAATAAGAGGCTTTATTACTTAGCTAGTGCAATGGATTTTTTTTTTAACTCAAAAATCTCTAATCATCTTCAGTTTTGTTCTTAACAGGTTTTATGGCCTTAGTGGTTTTGGACTGTTAGATGAAAATTATCACATATTAGATTGTAGTTGAAATGCAGATGACAACTTTCTTTGAAGAATTATTTCTTTCTGGAACAGTTTTTGGACAGGAAGAACAGTCCACAAAGGTGTTTACAAGGGTTAAGAAGCTCTCCACTAAAATTCTGAACATTGGTCTGCGTATTTTTCCTTCTAAATACTGAAGTTTTGCATCCCACAGTGCTAATTAGAATAGAATAATGAATGCCAAGACTTTCCATGAATGTTCTTTATAAAAAACACAGCAATTAACTGGTCTGCCATCTGATTGGTCAGTGATGTCTTCATGTTAAAAAAACCTCAATACTAATCATAAGCATGCGTTTATTTTAGAATTTGATATGTGTGCAAGTGGAACTCACTCAATGGTAGGGAAACCACTGAATATAGTTACAGAATCAGGCACAACTTGTTTCTCTTTCCAGAAAATCAACCAAGACAATGTACAGGAGGAGTTACAAAATGCTTTGCAGCGTGAGCATGAGGCACAATTGCTTTTACAAGAACAGCAGCGACGGGTTCAGGAGCTGAGCAATAGACTGGAATCACACTCATTTACTGAGCTAAGTAAAAGCCACATATCTCTGACGGTAAGATTATTCTTCTGGAACAGTCACCAGAGTATTACCTTTCATGAAAGAAGCCAAATAGCGCAGTCCTTGTGTAAATAAAATAACAGGAGTAAATACACACGCACTACTCAGTCTGCTGGAACTTTAGGCTACTGAGAAAACACTTCAAAGACTCCTCTTTAAAAATTTTTTAAGCTGTTTTTTTTTAACAGTTTAAGAAAAAGTCTTCAATGGGGGTTTGTTTTGGGTTTTTTTTTGCCTGCAATCATTTTGCATTCTAAAGCACATTTATATATAGCAAATATACTAAATACTAGGGGGGTTCTGAGTCAGTAATGCTTTTGCTAGGAAATTCATAAAACCTTAGGATGCAGTGGTCCAAATGTACTTCACAATCAATTTGTCTTCCACGTTGGTCAGTAGCCAGTGGCATAAAGTGAAGTTTCTTTGGGCGACAGAGTAACTCTGCTCTCTGTCTGCTGGCAGGGCCTCCCTGATACAGCGGAGGAGCTGAGGAAAAGAGACCAAGTTCTGGATCAACAGGAGAAACTCCTGAAAGACATGGAGAAGGACCAGAAGCGGCTGTGGGAGACTCTCGAGGAGGCAGAACGTGCCCTTGAACAGGGAGTAAAGTGAGCCCTGGGGCCAGGGGGATGTCACTTAAAATGAACAAAAATTGAAATTCCTACTTCCATGGGCAGGGCTTTACTTCCCTGGACAGCGTAAGGTTAGAAGAGAAAAGTACATCTGTCTCTTTTGTTTTGAAATTCAGGGATAGTCTTCTAAAACCAAAAGTGTTAGTTCAAAATATTAGGTCATACATTTTATGCAGTTATCCCATAGTAGTGCTTCAAATTCTGGGTGCTGAAATAACTGGCAAACAAAATACCTGTGCTATCTAACTGATCTGACAAGATCTCTTTGGCACATCCTTAAAGTTCTGTTTATTTAAGAAATGATTGCTTGCTCTCTGTGTTTCCACGCCAACTTTTTATAGGCAGATACAATTTATTTATAGTAAATACAGAAGCATCAGCTAGGGGACAGGTCTTCACTGCCAAAGGGACTGAAACCCATTTTGGATCTCACCTTTCCTGTGGTACAAGATAGATCTTCCAGCTGATTTCAGGGAGTTTTGGATTTAGACCTAATCCCCACACCACTTGCACCATAACCTGGAGTGGCAGAAAAGGCTCAGGCACTGGTCTTGAAAAGACTGGTGGTCAGAAGGAGCCCCCTTGACTTGAAGGAGCTTATTACTAACCAATTCTTACGCCATATGAAAAAAATAAGTCTTTGCAGACTTTGTTGTCTAATACTTTTCATAGTATGAAGTATGTGTTATGAATATTGTTGTTCCATGGCTAGGATCTAAAAAAATTTTAGTTAATTAAAATTTCTCATCATACCTGGGATCATTCAACCTCTGAACAACAGTATCTAAGAAGCTTTAAGGGTTTTATGCACCAGGGAAATAATGCAATTTGTATGGTCATCAATGAAATCTTTAACAAGCTAATTAAAATGACAACTGTTATTTGGTATGAGTTGATCAAAGCAGGTGTCACCTGCAGAAAGATTTGTTCCAGAAAGCTTGCCCTTTTCATCCTGACCTAATCTATTTTGGGCATTTCAGTAGAGATCATTCCTTGTGGCCATATATATATGTATCCAGAAAAGGTTATTCTAATGTGAAGTAACTTTAAAACTGGCTTTTTTTTTTTTCTCCTGTATATAGCAGCTGAATATCAACAAAGAAAGCTACTCTTCCTTCAATCTTACAGCAACTCTTCACAACTAATAGGTTTTATTTCTCCTTTTGGAATATAAACAAAAGAGATTAAATAAACAGAATCTGTCTGTGGTTTCCAATACAAGAATATAATTCCATCCTGCTAGAGACTTTTTATGACCTCTATATCCAAGCCATGATGGTTGTTCATTGATAGGACTATAATTATCTCAATTTTAATTGCTTATTCTCAACAGAAGCATCTTTCATATGGAAATGCACCAAATAGTGGTACATGAACTATATTTAGGGTTGGCATTGGAAATATGAAAAAGAGAGAAAATCCTAACAGTTTGGATTATCAACAATTATTTTACAGGACATGACAGCCATCAAGTAGCAGAAGATTAATTTCTACATTGGTAAAGTTTCAGTTCCATAAAGTTACTTCATTGTTCTTGTTTTGTTTTGTTTTCTTGTATTTTCTTTTATAATAGAGACAAAGAGTTGATCATTAGTCAAATGAAAGCTGTGGAAGCTGCCCTGAATGAGGTAAGAATTTGACGTGTTCCCTCTGATTTGTGTTTCTAAATCAGCTAAAGCCTTAGAACTGCTTATTCTCAGGGGACGAGAGAAGTTGTAGCAAAGCAACTTCCTTTCCTTAGTGTTGAAGTTTCCCCTCTCAATTTGTTCCATCTTAAAAAACCACAGTGAAATAAAATGCAAGTTTGTAGTACATACGCAACTTTTTCTGAATGTAGAAGTTATGACAAAATTCACTTGCCTTCCCTCACTGAGCACTGTTTCTGGTTGACAAGGGAAGACTAATGGAACACACCAAAAATTGGCAATTGTTGTGGAGTTACCCCCTCTACTGAATAATAAAAAGTGACATACTTGGTGGCCATAAAACATTTGGCTTTGTGTCTGCTACTCTAACCTATGAAACATCATCAATAGGAAAAGAAAAGGCAGGAAGTAGTAATGTGTGGTCAGAAACTTCCATAGTATTTTTTAAAATCATATTTTAACCTTAATAGTAATCTCAAGTTTTCCCTCTGACTTGTGCAATTGTGCCCTGATATAGGACTATTTGAAATTCCAACAAAGCTATACATATGAATTATTTAGGAGAAAGGACTTTTTCAACTATAGCTCTCATGGCAGATGGTTTCATAACTGTTTTTAATCTAGAGCAGCACAGAGCAAAAGTGATTTTTTTACCTGGGAGTGTCAATTTCCCTTACTATATCTTTAATTCTCAGCAATGTGGGAATCACTATTTTAGTTTCAGAGGTCACCAAAACTGTTGCTATTTATTTAATTTATTTATTTTCCAATATCTTTTTCTAGTCTCTTTCCTTTAATGTTCACGCAAAGTGACAGAATCTGAACTGCATCTTTCTCCTACAGCAAACTGTGCTGATAGAAAATTTCCTTTGTGCCACCACCATCTCCATACTGGCTTCTTTCAAACTTTGGAAGTGAATGTCATGCAGCAAGTGCTGTGTTCTTACAGTAATACATAGGTGCCATATCCTTGGCCTTTCTCTTTTCAGGGCAGGGCAAGGTGCTTTGTTTTGGTAGCAATCTCTCCCAGCCCTTTGAATTAGAGATTTATTTGCAATGAAAATTCAATCAGTCGTACTTTATTCATGGATGTTAGGTGCAGTGATCAAAGCAAGTCCACTCAATGGGCTCAAGGGGCCACCGTTCATCCCCGCTGGTGTGTCTGAAGGAGAATTACCACTGATGCTGGGGTATTTTCCCTTCAGGCCAAAGAGCAGGCAGCAGCATCAGGTGCTGAAGCAGCCGCGCCACTCACCAGCCTGCAGCTGCAGACCCTTCCAGAGGAAGCAACGGCGGGCAGGCCAGAGGCTGCATCCTTCCAGGTTAGAGTCTAAAACCAATCCTGTTTAATTTTTTCTTTAATTTTCTTTCATTTTTTGCATCTGAGATACAGCTGCTCTGAGCATGTGGAGAGCAAAAAGCTTCAAAACTATTGCAGTCAACAGTTGAAAGACAATTTCTAATTATACTCCTGCAGATGGTATTTCAAAGATGATGGTAACTTTTAATTTTGCAGTTGCAGTGTTAAATAACTGACAGCAATACAAGCATGGACAGAAGTATATATACCTAAAAATTAACATCCCTCTATCCCCCTCCCTTTTTTCCCATTAATATACAAAAGACTAATTAAAAAAACCCAAAAAAACACAAACAAAACCAAAATCAAGATCCCCACAAACAAACAAAACCAACCAAAAAAAAAAAGACAAAATTTTCATATTCCTTCTTGGTCAGTATCTGATTTTTTTCAACAGAGTTTTAGAATCAATTGTGGGGTTTTGAGCATTCCTTATTTAAAGGAATCTGCTATTTAGAATGTTTAAACATAGAAGCTATGTTGCCCATGTAGGTTTAAAAACTTGCACATTTCAAACTACTAATTTTGTTAGGATAAAACAATGAGTGGGAAAAAAAGAGAAATTAACAGAAGACGTGCCATATTTTCAGCTCTGAACATAGATTCAGTGCAATGCCTCCTCATTGTTTTTAAGTTTGATGTCTTCTACAGAAACTATATTAGTCTTTAGAGCTGTGCAGAATACATTAGTGCCAAGACAGATTTTTTTCCCCAATGAGAGAACAAAAGGCAAAGTGAGTACATATGTCTTTCATTGTGCTTCTCTGTCTGAATTAGAGAGAGAGTAGGTAATCAAGTAAAGTGCAAGGAACTTAGGCAAGGTAAGTATTGCATACAGTGTGTAAGCTTCTGCAGGAATTCCTCCCAATTTATTGTAGATTTTCCTTTCTAATGCAGTATATAATTGCAGGATCAGGGTCACAAAATCAAACATTCAAGAAAGGCAGATTCTAAACGGGAAATTTTTCACTGTTGCCCTCTTGCATGCATACATACATTTCAATATGATAAAGATATAAATTATATGTGCATTATCATGTTTCCACTCTAAAATATGGAAATATGGAATATGGAATGCCTTGAGATTCCCATAAAGCTAATTAGCACAGATGAACTTTTCTGTCAAAAGGCAGAATTACAAATCTTTTCCCAGTACAGTGATGATCCATTTTAGAGCTGCACAAAAGGTCCCATGGGTGGCATCTTTCCACAGGAGGCATTGTGGCAATCGCCAGCTTTTAAATCCTTATTTCCTAATTTGGTAGTGGATGTTGCTTTTTTTTTTTTTTTTTTTAAGTCCCATCTCAACTCCCATTCTTTTTTGACCTCACAATGATTGCAGAAGAACCTGCAGCCTGTTCCTTCTTTCTCTCCAGAAGAGAATCATAAACACAAAAAGTTGCATTTCATATTTGCACAGAGTGCTTGTGGTATAAGTAACATAGTACAGTATGTGCTGGGGAGCTCGCTGGTGGGGCAGAACTGTGAAGTTCTTGTTCACCTGCAGCCTCAGGTGCACTTGGTAACTCAATACATATACAAACAGCAGCAATGGCTCACAGTCTGTGTCACTGTGAACTTCCTTTTCTCCATCCCTTTTTCTCTTTCTCCCTTTCCTCATCTCTCTTTCACCCTTTTCCCTCTCTCTCTCCTCAGCCCTCATCTCTAGTTCCTGTTTGATGTCTTTCCAAGCTCATTACTGAGGTTTTATTACAAAGTTTGCCTTTTATGGACAAAGGTGACCTAATGGATTTTAGTTTTACTCTATGCCAAACTGTATTAAGGGCAGTCCTGCAATCCTGAGTGAGGTAAGCAGCTAGGAATGACTTTAGGGACACTTGTCATTAAAAGCAGTGGAGTTGTTTGCAGGCACATTCTCTAGAACTGCCTTAGTCTGTGATGGGAACATTTCAATTAAAGGCCTTATAATCTGCAATAATCCTCTTTTGGCACTAGGACCACAGCACCAAGACATTTTGGAGATTCTTTCTGATGAGAAAAGATGTGATACGGGTTAATTTGCCACTGCTGTTTCCTAGACACCACGATGAAATAACCTGATGGATTTTAGCTGTGTTAACATCTATTCTGAAAATCATTAATGTGAAACCAAGGAAAGGAAAACTGAAAAACCTTTGCAAATCCCTGTTTGTGATACTTAGCTGATTTTTGTCTGTATCACAGGTTTACATTCAAAAGACCAATGTAGTACTATCTGAAGGGAAAAATCATAACAAATAAAATGTGATTAACCATGGCAAAGAAGACCAATAATTTCAACAGTTAGTTGAGACTACTTGGGGTAGATATAAAGTGACCAGTACTGCCAAATCATCTGTGCTCTCTTGTCCTGCTAACTTTATCATCAATCCAATCAATATAACAAAATTGGGACATTCTTCCACTGCATACATGGAAACAGCTACATTTTTCCAGTTTTAGTGCAATCAGATTATTTGTTTTCAGAAGCCTGAAGGTTTGTGATGTTTCTTTTCTTACTGCCAAGTTCATTGTTTTGCTGTGGAGTGGAAGGATTAGTAAATTGATTGATCTTGCCAGTGTGAACATTAGCCTGAAACTATGTGGTAATTGTCAACAGAAATTGAACCTGCACTACATCTTGTATTGAAATAAAATGAAAAAGTTGTATCAAGAGCTCAATGCTGTATTGCATGCTTGAAAACATCTCATCACAGCAGCTCCTAACTAGGGTGTGGAGCAATTCCCTTTTCCTCAATGATATTTATATTCAACATTTTAGAAAAAAATAGAAAATCCAACAAAACTTGATGTTTAAGTCCTGAGACTGACATTCTCCCTGGCTTACAAACTCTATTTTATTTCTCTGCTAAAAAAAAAAAATCTGTCTTTTGTAAAAAATTTGGATATGTGCTATTTGCCATTTAAGTGTAGTTTGCCTGGCACTAATGATTCCTTCTACTTTGATTTAAGAATGTGGTTAGAAATTTTGAGGATGTCTACTCACTGGCGGCTTCCAAAATTGACGTATTAAGAGCAAGAAGAGACTCTTCGGGCTCTATCTATGGATCCTTATCAGCTGTTGAGAGTCTTACTCTTTCTGCTGAGGCTAAGTCTGCTTTTCAAGCAATTGTAGTCCCTGGGATGTGGGTTCCTAGCCAGCATCTCCCTTCATGCTGCACAGCTTCTGTAGGCCAATACAGCAACACTTAATTGTAAACATAATGGAGAGCAATAAAATTACTGCAAAGAGAAACATCCTGAGATATTTTCCAGAAGAGAAAGGGGATGGTGAACGCTAACACAGTCATTGAAATTACTACTGTATGTTTTTTTTTCTATTGCTCACTATTTGATTGGGGTTTTTTTGGTTTTAGTTCAGATTCCTTGCTTGATTGGTTGGATTGTTTTTTTGGTTTTGGGGAGTGGTGGTGGTGGGTGGGTGGGTATTAGTTTTTTTTATTTTTATACATTACCTTTATTTCTGTTCTTTTTTCTCTCTTTCTCTCTTTCCTTCTCTGTCTTTATTTTTCTTTCTCTTTCTTTCTCTTTCTTTCCTTTTTTTTTACCAAAGGATTTTCCTTTCTTTCTGTTATAAACCATTAACATTTCTGCAATAGCCTTTTTTGCAACCATAACCCCTTCAGTTCTGTCCATGTCCTTGGTTTTTAACATTTACTTTCTCTGAACAGAATCCCCGCAAGTTCACTTTGCACCTGGACCAGCTACTTCGTCTCCTATTCCTATTACTCCTCCTGCTCCTGCAGGTAAGTCTGCTTTTCAAGAAATTATAGTTTCTTAGGTGTGAGTTTCCAGACAGCATCTCCCTCCATGCTGCTCAGCTTCTGTAGGTAAATAGAACAATATTTGATTTTAAACATAGTGGAGCAATAAAACTAGTGATAAGAGAAATGATCTGTGACTTTACAGAAGAGAAAGGGGATGGTGAAAGATAAAACAGGCATTAAAATTACTACTGTTATTTTTTTTCTATTGGTCCTGATTTGCTTAGATATTTTTGGTTTTAGTTTGGGTTTGGTTGGTTGAATCTTTTGTTATTGGGTAGTAGTGGTGGTTGTTGGGCAGGTGTTTTCTTTTTGTTTTTGATGGGTTTTGATTTTTGGTGGGTCTTTGATTTTTGCTGGTTTTGTTTTTCATTTCTTTCTTTTCTGTTACTTTCTTTTTTTTTTTTAAATGAAGTCTTTTTTCCTTTCTTTCTGTTAGCAACCATTAACATTTCTGTATTGGCCTTTCTTTGCAACCATAACGCCTTCAGTTCTGTCATTTCCTTGCCTTATAAAATTTCTTCCTCCGAGCAAAATTTTTACAAGTTCACTTTGAATCCAAAGCAGCTGGATTGTCTCCTCTTTCTCCTGGTGGTGCTATTCCTCTTCCTTCTCCTATTAGTGTTGGTAAGTCTGCTTGTCAAGCAATTGTAGTCATTTGAATGTGGGTTCCTAGCCAGCATCTCCCTTCATGCTGCACAGCTTCTGTAGGAAAATACAACAATAATTTTTGTGTAAACATAATGGAGCAACAAAAGTAGTGCTAATGGAAATGATCTCGGACTTTTCAGAAGAGAAAGGGAATGGTGGAAGATAGCAGAACGATTAAAATTACTACAGTAATTTGTTTTTTCTATTCGACCCTCTTTGCTTGGGTTTTCTTATTTTCCTTTGGTTTTGGTTGCTTGGGGAGTTGGATTTTTTTGGTTTTGGGAAGTGTTGGCTGTGGAGTGGGTGGGGTTATTGGGTTTTTTTGGTATTATTATTTTTTCCTTTCTTTCTTTTCCTTTCTTTCTTTCTTTCTTTCTTTCTTTCTTTCTTTCTTTCTTTCTTTCTTTCTTTCTTTCTTTCTTTCTTTCTTCCTTCCTTCCTTCCTTCCTTCCTTCCTTCCTTCCTTCCTTCCTCCCTCCCTCCCTCCCTTCCCTTCCTCCCTTCCCTTCCCTTCCCTTCCCTTCCCTCCCCTTCCCTCCCCTTCCCTCCCCTTCCCTCCCCTTCCCTCCCCTTCCCTCCCCTTCCCTCCCCTTCCCTCCCCTTCCCTCCCCTTCCCTCCCCTTCCCTCCCCTTCCCTCCCCTTCCCTCCCCTTCCCCCCTTCCCCCCTTCCCCCCTTCCCTTCCCTTCCCTTCCCTTCCCTTCCCTTCCCTTCCCTTCCCTTCCCTTCCCTTCCCTTCCCTTCCCTTCCCTTCCCTTCCCTTCCCTTCCCTTCCCTTCCCTTCCCTTCCCTTCCCTTCCCTTCCCTTTTTTTTAACAAAGGCTTTTTCCATTCTTTCTATTAGAAACCATTAACATTTTGTAATAGCCTTTCCTTGCAGTCACAACCATTCCAGTATTGTGCATTTCCTTGCTTATTAAAATTGACTTTCTCTAAACAGAATCTCCGCAAGTTCACTTTGAACCTAGTGGCACACCTCCTGCTCCTATTCCTCTTCCTCCTCCTATTCCTGCTTCTGTTCCTGCTGCTTTTCCTGTTTCTGCTCCTGCTCCAGTTCCTTCTGCTGCTGCTGTTCCTGCTCCTGCTGGTAAGTCTGTGTTCCAAGCAATTGTAGTCACTGGGATGTGGGTTCCTAGCCAGCACCTCCCTTCATGCTGCACAGCTTCTGTAGGCAAACAATACTTAACTATAAACATAAGGGAACATTAAATCTAGTGCTAAGAGAAACGTTATCTGAGACTTTTTGGAAAATAGAAAGGGGGTGGAGAAACCTACCAAAGGGATTAAAATTACTCCTGTAATGTTTTTTTCTATTGGTCCCTATTTCTGCTTTTATTTTGGGTTTGGCTGCTAAACTGGTTGGATTTTTTTGTTTTGGGGAGTGGTGGTGGTGGGTGGGTGGGTGTTTGATTTTCTCTTTTTTTTTTTTTTTTCTTTATTTTTCTGTATTTATTTTAACTGAAAACTTCTTCCTTTCATTATGTTATAAACCAGTAACGTTTTTTTAATTGTCTTTCCTTCCAACCATAACCATTTCAGCATTTCCTTGCTTTTTAAAATTTCTTCTCTGAAGAAAATTTAAAATTGACTTCTCTGAAGTCAATTTACTTTCTCTGAACAGACGCCTTTCAGTGTCCCATTTCACCCCAAGCAGCTGGAAGACCTCGTACTCCTGTTTCTGCTCCTGCTGGTAAGTCTGCCTGTCAAGCAATTGTTGTCCCTTGGATGTGGGCTCCTAGCCAGCATCTCCCTTCGTGCTGCCCAGCTTCTGTACGCAAATACAACAATACTTCATTGCAAACATCAGGAAGCAGTAAACCTGGCGCTAACAGCAAAGCTGTAAGACTTTTCTCAGAAGAGAAAGAGGATGGTGAAACCTAACACAGGGATTGAAATGATATTTTGTATACTAAAAATATACTAAAAATTACTAGTATGAATTTTTATTCTCTGAGGGTGTGGCACAGCAGTTTGCGTAGCAGTTGGCGCAGGCAGGGCAAGCAGGCAGGGTTGCAACTTTTCTTGCCCACAAGGTTTGCTGTGTGTTGTTTGCAGTGTTTCTGTTGGTTGGTGGTTTTTGGGGTTTGCGTTAGTAATGGTTTTTACGCAATTGAAAACTGTAGTTAGTACAAGTGTACATAATCAAACGGAACCCTCCAAAAAGGTTACATCAGTCCAGACCCATTCCTGTGCGGACTGTTTGAGCTTAGTAGCAGTTTCAGGGGGCGTTGTGGAGGAAACCTGCCTGCAGTGTGAACAGGTGAACAATCTCCTTTCTCTGGTGGTTGAGCTTAGAGAGGAAATTGAAAGACTAAGGAGTATCAGGGAAAGTGAAAGGGAAATAGATTGGTGGATTTGCCCTTCCATCCTTGAGGGAAGCCCACCAAGAGTCAGAGGACTCCCATGCCTCTCACTGGCAGACAATAGAAGGACACCTGATAGGTGAAGGGGAGTGGAAATGGGTACCTACTTGAGGAGGTAATAATAAAAATTCCTCCCGACCCCCATCCCCAAGTCAGGTGCCACTTCAGAATAGCTTTGAACCCCTCCATCTAGAGAGTCAACCAGATGATTTAGAAGAAAATTATCTGCCCAGTGAGCCTCCCAATTATGACTCATCTGTGAGAAGGATTACCACCTCTAACATCAGGAAAAAAGAAGGGTACTCCTAGTGGATGGCTCCCTTCTGAGGGGAACAGAGGGCCCCACATGTCAACAGGACCCACCCCACAGAGAGGTCTGCTGCCTCCCTGGGGCCTGGGATATCACTGAGGGGCTTCCTGGGCTGATTCAGCCCTCTGATTATTACCCACTGCAGATATTCCAGGCTGGCAGTGATGAGATTGCAAAGAGGAGTGTCAGGACAATTAAAAGGGACTTGAGGGCACTGGGACAAGTGGTTGATAGGACAGGGGTACAGGTAGTCTTTTCCTCAGTTCCTTTGGTGGCTGAGAAAAACAGTGAAAGGAATAGGAGAGCTCACATTATCAACAAGTGTCTCAAAGGTTGGTGTCATCGGCAGAATTTGGGGTTCTTTGATCATGGGGCAACTTTTACAGCACCTGCTCTACTGGAACCAGATGGGCTCTGTCTCTCTGTTAAGGACAGAAGGCTTTTAGCTCATGAACTGGCAGAACTTGTTGAAAGGACATGGAACTAGGTCTGAAGGGGAAAGGGGATGCATCTGGGCTGTCTGGAAGCAGGCCCAAGGGTGGTAAGCCTGAGACAGGAGTGAAATCAGCAGCCCAGCTGAGGTGCAGGTATACCAATACACGCAGCACAGGTTACAAACAAGAGCTGGAGGCCACGGTCCAGCAGCAAAGCTATGATGTCATTGCCATCACACAGAAATGTGGTGGCACGACTCACGTGGCTGGAGTGCTGCACTGGATGGCTCCAAGTCCTTCAGGAGAGACAGGAAAGGGAGAAGAGGTGGAGGGGTGGCCCTTTATATTAGGGAATATATAGGCCAACAAGGCTGACATCCTACTGGGAGTCTGTTCTTGTCCACGCAACCAGGAAGAAGTGGTGGACAATTCATTCTATAAACAGCTAGAGAATGTTTCTGGGGCATCAGCCATTTTTCTTGCTGGCAATTTCAACCTGCTGGACATTTTTTGGGAACTCAACACAGCTGAAAAAAGGCAGTCCAGGATTTTAGAGTTTGCAGAGGACAACTTTTTGTCAGAGCTGGTGGGTGAGCCCACCAGGGGAGGGACAATGTTAGATCTGTTATTTGCAAATAGAGACAGACTGGTGGGAGATGTGGTGCTTGGAAGTATCACTTAGGCTGCAGTGATAATAAAATATAACATTTTCTCTATTTGGTTAAATCAAGAGGAACATTAATAAGACTTTCACATGTGACTTCTGGAGGGCAGATTTTGTCCTGTTCAGGACACTTATTCAGAGAGTTCCTTGGGAAGCAGCCTTTAAAAACAAAGGAGTTCAGGAAGGGTGGGTGAGCTTCAGAACAGAGATCTTGAGGGCACAGAAACAGACTGTCCCTGTGTGCCGAAAGATGAGTCGATGAGGCAAACGTCCAGCCTGGATGGGCAAGGAGATTTTGGAGGAACTTAGGAATAAAATAAAGGATGTATTCTCTTTGGAAGGAGAGTCATGTCTCTCAGGAAGTATTTAAGGGGGCTGCTAGAGCATGTAGGAAAAAATTCAAGAGGCCATAGCTCAGTTTGAACTTAAAGTGTTGACTTTTGTAAAGAATAATCAAAAATGCTTTTGTAAATAGATGAATGGTAAAAGATCATTTGGTAAATGGTAAAAGAAGAGTAAGATCAACCTTTGTTGTTTATTGGATGCAGAAGGGAACTTAGTAGCTGCAGATGAGGAGAAGGCAGAGGTGCTTAACACCTTCTTTGCCTCAGTTTTTAGTGGGAAGGCTTGCCTTCAGGACAACTGTCCTCTTGGGTTGCTCGATGATATCGGGGAGCAGAATGGTCCCCCCATTATGCAAGAGGAGGCAGTCAGAGAACTGCTGAGCTGCTTGGACCTTCACAAATCCATGGGTCCAGATGGGATCCATCCCAGGGTGATGAGAGAGCAGGCAGATGAGATTGCAAAGCTGCTCTCCATCATTTACCAACAGTCCCGGCTCACTGGTGAGGTTCCAGAAGACTGGAAGCTGGCCAATGTGACACCCATTGATAAAAAGGGTGGAAAGGAGGATCCTGTTAATGATAGCCAGTCAGCCTGACCTCAGTCCCCAGTAAGGGGGACTGAAGAGTTTATATGCAGTGTCATCACACAGCGCTTACAGGATGGCCAGGGTATCAGACGGAGCCAGCAGGAGTTTAGGAGGGGTAGGTCATGTTTGACCAACCTGGTCTCCCTTTATGAGCAAGTGACCCACCTGGTCGATGCAGAAAAGGCTGTTGATGTTGTGTGCCTGGACTCCAGCAAGGCCTCTGGCACTGTCTCCAACAGCACACTCCTGGAAAAGCTGCAGCCCACAGCTTGGGCAGGAGCACTCTGTGCTGGGTTCAGAGCTGGCTGCATGGCCGGGCCAGAGAGTGGTGGTGAACAGTGCTGCATCCAGCTGCAGCCGGGCACCAGGGGTGTCCCTCAGGGCTCTGTGCTGGGGCCAGCTCTGTTCAGTATCTTCACTGATGCCATGGATGAGGGGACTGAGTCTTTCATGAGTAAGTTTGCAGAGGACACTAAGCTGGGAGTGTGTGTTGATCTGTTGGAGGGTAGGAGGGCTCTGCAGAGAGATCTGGAATGGTTGGATGGATGGGCAGAGTCTAACAAGGTGAAGTTTAATAAATCCAAGTGCTGAGTCCTGCATTTTGGCCACAATAAGCCCCTGCAATGTTATGGGCTGGGGATGGTGGGGCTGGACAGTGCCCAGGCAGAAAAGGACTTGGGGTTACTGTTTGACACTGGCTGAACGTGAGCCAGCAGTGTGCCCTGGTGGCCAAGAAAGCCAATAGCATCCTGGCCTGGAGCAGGAATGGTGTGGCCAACAGGAGCAGGGAGGTCATCCTTGCCCTATACTCAGCACTGGTGAGGCCACACCTTGAGTGTTGTGTCCAGTTCTGGGCCCCTCAGTTTAGGAAGGATCTTGAGATGCTTAAGGGCATCCAGAGGAGGCAATGAGGCTGGTGAGGGGCTGGGAGCACAAACCCTGTGAGGAATGACTGAGGGAGCTGGGGGTGCTCAGCCTGGGGAAAAGGAGACTCAGAGGTGACCTTATCACTCTCTCCAACTTGCTGAAAGGTGGTTGCAGTCAGGTGAGGGTTGGTCTCCTTCTCCAGGCAGCAACTGACAGAACCCAAGGGCACAGGCTCAAGCTGCACCAGGGGAAATATAGGTTTGATAATAGGAAAAAGTTTTTTACAGAAAGGGTGATAAAGTACTGGAATGGTCTGCCCTGGGAGGTGGTGGAGTCACCATCCCTGGATGTGTTTAAAACAAGACTGGATGTGGCACTCGGTGCCGTGGTTTAGTGGTTTAGTGGAGGTGTTAAGGCATGGGTTGGACTCAAGGGTGTTTAAGGTCTTTTCCTGCCTAGTCATTCTGTGAATTCTGTAATTACTGTGGGTTTTTTCTATTGGTCCCCATTTGTTTGGCTATTTTAGGGTTGGGTTTTGTTGTGGTTTTTTTTTTTTTTTTTTTTTTGCTTGGTTGCATTGTTGCATGGATTTTTTTTGTTTTGCAAAGTAGCAATAGTGAGTGGGTGGGTGTTTGTTTTTTAACTTTTTTTTTTTTTTCTTATTTTCTCCCTTTCCCATCCTCTCCCAAAGGCTTCTTCCTTTCATTTTATTATAAAGCAGTAATGGTTTTTAATCATCTTCTGCAAAAATAACCATTTCTATGCATTTCCTTGCTTTTAAAAATTTACCTTCTCTAAACAGATATATTTCGGATTAGCTTTGGACCCAGACCACCCCATACACCTACTATTCCTGTTCCAGCTTCTGCAGGTAAGTCTGCTTGTCAAACAATTGTAGCCCCCTGGATGTGGGTTCCTAGCCAGCATCTCCCTTCATGCTGCACAGCTTCTGTAGGCCAATAAAGCAACTTAAGGGATAACATAAAGGAGCATTAAAACTGGTGCTAACAAAATTGTTGTGATACATTTTAGAGAAGAAAAAGGGGATGGTGAAAGCTAACACAGGGTTTAAAATCATTACTGGAATGTGTTTTCTGTTAGTTCCTATGTCCTTGTGGGTTTGTTTTGGTTTTAGTTTGGGTTTTGATGTTTGGTTGCTTGGACATTTTTTAGTGTTGGGGAGTGGTTGAGGTGGGTAGGTGGGTGGGTGTTTGATTTCTGAATTTTTTCTTTTCCAACTTTCTTTCTTTCTTACTTTCTTTCGTTCTTTCTTTCATTCTTTCTTTCATCCTTCCTTTCCTTTTTTTTAATAACCAAAGGGTTTTTCATTTCTATCTGATATAAAACATTCACAGTTTATATTAGGCTTTCCTTTCAAACATAACCATTTCCAAACAGTTCATTTCCTTAGTTTTTAAATCTTACTTTTACTCAACAGATATTTTCCAGCCTCGTGGTTCACCCCAAGCAGCTCGTGCAATTCTGGCCCCTGTTCCTGCTCCTGTTCCTGCTCCAGCTCCTGCACCGGCTCCTGCTCCTGCTCCTTTTCCTGTTCCCATTCCTGCTCCTGCTCCAGTTCCAGCTCTTGTTCTTCCTCCTGCTCCTGCTCCTGCTCCAGTTCTTGCTGTCATTCCTGCTCCTGCTCCTGGCCCTGGTCCTGCTGGTAAGTCTCTTCTTCAAGAGAGCAGTCACTGTAGTCACTGGGACGTGGGCTCCTAGCCAGCATCTCCCTTCATGCCGCACAGCTTCTGTAGGCAAATACAGCAACACTTTAGTGTAACGATAAGGGAGCAATTCACCTAGCGCAAAGAGAAATGTTCTGAGACATTCTTCAGACAAGAAAGGGGTGGTGTAACTAACACAGGGATGAACATTTTTGTCTGACTGTAGAAGTTTGTTTCCTTGATTAAAAAACACACCCTAGAAATTATAAGGACGAGGGGTAAAATATGTCTGTGAGAATATGTGGAACTTCAAACAACGTCTGATTACAATACTTCCTAGGGCAAGATACTTGTGCTAATGTCCTTTGTCTATTAAGGATTAATATAGCATATTTCTATGCCATGTGTTTCAAATAAGCAATTAAGACAAGGAGCAAACAGCTGTAAGTACTTCAAATACATACTCTTGTCAGAGCTATTTAACAGCAAATGTAGATTCTCTCCTGATTTGTTTATATTCTTTTTTTTTTTATTCCAGCATTCTGGGGACGTCCAAGGTTCAGAACCTATACTCTGTCTGAAACTGACTCAGGCTACAGTAGCATGACAGCCGACAGAACCTACACTGTGTCTGGGAGCGACTCTGTCTTCACTTCGTCACCCAGCAGATCCTATACTTTATCTGGAACCGACTCAGGCCTCCTTAGTATGACAGCCGGCAGAACCTATTCTGTGTCTGGAAGCGGCTCAGCCTCTCCAGTACGTCACCCAGCAGATACTATAGTGCGACTGAAGGCCGCTCACCCAGCAGATACTGTACTGCATCTGGAAGCAAGGTATTTGCCAGTGTGTCATCCTACAGAACTTTTACTGTGGTTGGAACCAACATTGCCTTTCCTTCCAACTAAAACCATTTCCATTCCTTACATCTCCTTGCTTTTTCAAATTTACCATATCTGAAGCAAATTCACTTTCTCTGGACAGACTCCTCACAGCGTCCCCAAGGACCTATTTCACCTAATGATCTTCCTCCTGCTATTGATTATAAGTCTGCTGGTGAAGAAATTATTGTCATTTGGATGTGGGTTCAGAGCCCACATCCATGGGGAGTAATTGGTTTTCCTTTATTTCTGTTACAAACTATTCATATTCTGCAATAGGCTTTTTTTTCAACCATAACCATTTCCAATCAGTGCATTTCCTTGGTTTGTAAATCCTATTTTTCCATAAGAGATAATATTCAGCCTCATGTTTCACCCCAAGCAGCTCGTACACCTCTTGTTTGTCCTGCTCCTGCTCCTTCTCCAAAGTCTCTTTTGCAAGCAATTTTAGTCACTGGGATGTGAGTTCCTAGCCAGCATCTCCCTTCATGCTGCACAGCTTCTGGAGGCCAATCCTGCAACACTTAATTATAAACACAATGGAGCGTTAAACCTAATGCAAACAGAAATGGTGTAATACTTTTTAAAGATGAGAAAGGGGATGTTGGAGGCTAACACAGGGATTAAAATTAACGCTGGAGGATTTTTTTTTCCTATGGGTCTTTTATTTGCTTAGATATTTTTTATATTAGTCTGGGTTTAGCTGCTTGGTTGGTTGGATTCTTTTTGGTTTTTCAAAGTGGTCCTTGTCGGTGGGCGTTGTTTAATTTTTGATTTTTTTTCTTTTAGGACTTCTATTAATTGCATTTTTTTAACCAAATCCTTTTTCCTTTCTTTCTGTTTTAAACCATTAACATTTTTGTAATAGCCTTTCCTTTCAACCATAAGCATTTCAGTTCTGAGTATTTCCTTGTTTTTTCAAACTTATTTTTACTCAACAGGTAATTTTCAGCCTCCAATTTCATCCCAAGCAGCCAGTACACCTGCTGCTCCTACTTCTCCTGATGCTAAGTCTGCTTTTCAAGAAATGATAGTTTCTTGGATGTGGGTTTCTAGGCAGCATCTCCCTTCATGCTGAACAGATCCTGTAGGTAAATACAACAATCCTTGCTTTTAAACATAATGGAGCAATAAAACGAGTGCTAACAGAAATGTGAGAGTTTTTAAAGGAGAGAATGGGGATGGTGAAACCTAACACAGGGATTAAAATCACTTGTGTGATTTTTCTTTTGGTTCTCAACTGCATGCAAAATTTTTGTTTTCAGTTTGGATTTGGTTGGTTGGTTGGGTTCTTTGGTTTTGGGGAGTGGTTCCACTGGGTGGTTTGGTGTTAGGTTTTAATTTTTTTCTTTTTTAAAATTATCTCCGCTTTCAACTTTTTTTTTTACTGAAGGCATTTATATTCTTGATGTGATAAATCATTGTAATAGCCTTCCCTCGCAAACATAAGCATTTCAGTTCCATGCATGTCCATATTTTTAAAATTCACCTTCCCTGAAGTACATTTACTTGCTCTACACAGAATCATTTCAGCTTGTCTTCGTACCCCAAGGACCCATTTCACCTCGTACTCCTGATCCTGATGGGAAGTCTGCTTGTCAAGAAATGATAGTCATTTGGATGTAGGATCTTTGCCAGCATCTTCCTTCATGCTGCACAACTTCTGCAGACAAATACAACAATACTTGATTGCAAACATCATGGAGCAATAACACTATTGCAGACATTTTGAAAGAGCCATTTCTTGCAACGATAAACATTTCAATTCTGTACATTTCCTTGCTTTTAAAAATCTACCTCCTATGAAGTAATTATTTATTTATTTTCTCTGAACAGCCTCTTTTCAGTTTCCTCTTTCAGCCCAAGCTGCTCGTACACCTCCTGCACCAGCACAAGCTCCTGATGCTAAGTCTGCTTGTCAAACACTTGTAGTCCCTGGGCTGTGGCTTCCTAGCCAGCATCTCCCTTCATGCTGCACAGCTTCTGCAGTCAAATACAACAATCCTTAATTGGAAACATAATGGAGCATTAAAATTATTGCTAACAGAAATATTCTGAGACATTTCTCAGAAGAGAAAGGGGTGGTGAAAGCTAACACAGGGATTAAAATTACTACTGTGGTTCCTCCTATTGGTGCCCAATTGCTTGGCTATTTTTGGTTTGGGGTTTTTCTTCAGTTGTTTACTTGTTACGGTTTTTTTGCTTTTATAGAGTAGCAGTAGTGGGTGGGTGGTTTTTTGACTTTTTAAATTTTTTTCTTATTTTCTCTTCTCTTTTTTTTGCCAAATGTTTCTTCCTTTCATTATGTTTTATACCATTAACGTTTTTTAATCATCTTCTCTTGCAAACACAACCATTTCAGTTCTGTGCATTTCCTTGCTTTTAAAATTCACCTTCTCTGAAGTAAATTTATTCTCTCTGAACAGATATATTTCAGGTGAGCAGAAGTACACCTGCTACTTCTGCTCCTGCTGGTAAGTCTTATTTTTGAATTTTTTCTTTTCTAACCTATTTTAATTTCTTTCTTTCTTGCTTGCTTTCTTGCTTTCTTTTTAAGAGCCAAAGGCTTTTTCCTTTCTTTATGTTATAAACCATTAACATTCAGAATAAGTTTGTTTCCTTGAATAAAAAACACAGCTTTGGAGTTAATATGATGAGAGGTAAAAGATGTCTTGAAGTGAGTACTTGTAGCACTTGATTTAAAGTGCTATACCACCAATTTATGGGGCAGGATACTTGTGCTAATGTCCTTTGTCTATTAAATATTTCTATCTAATAATCAGGTGCCATGTCTTTCAAAGAAGCATTTAAGGAGCAAACATTTCTAAGTACTTCACATACGTGCCCTTGTGAGCAGCATTTGACAGCAAACATAGATTCTCTCCTGATTTTTTTTTTACCCTTTTGTTACCCCCAGCACAGCGGAGAGGGCCTGGACACAGAGTCCATACTGTGTCTGACACCAACGTTCCTCCCGTTGTGCTACCGGCCAGACCCTACAGCGCATCTGACACCAACACAGCCTCCGTGCCATGCCACGCACAACAGGTTTTGGGTCATCAATGGAACCAGCCATCAACCTGATACCAACCAGAACCAATAGTGGGCCCTCCATGCATGCATCCTCCCACACCAGACGAAACAGAGCTTTTACCCTGCCTTCAAGCAACATGCCCTCCCGTCTGGCAGGAAACAGAGCTGGTACTGGCTCTTCATCCTTCAGGTTCAGACCACGCAGAACCAGTTCTTTGCCTTCAGTAGCTCCTTTCAGCCGGGATGTCTTACCCAGCACTAGAAGAAAGAAGGACATTTAATTATCAGATGTGAAAGACTTCTTCATTGAAATACTAGCTTCTCTTCAGAAGGAAAATACTCCAGCAATACAAGAAGATCTAAATAAAGTACACTCTTCCCTACCTTTCTATTGTAGTTCACTGTATATATTGGTTTGTAATTTCATATTTTTATGAAATTGTCATTCATATCTTCACATTTCTGTGTTCCTAATGAAAAAGCACTTATTTATAGAACTCTTTTTATTGCAGTTTTTAATTTTTATGTAGTCTATTTTAAAATGTTATAAAACAACACCTTTTGGGTACTTTTCCCCATTCCTAAAAAAAATAAATCAATCACAAGCCTTTTTAGTCTCTGTCTCTCATAATTGTTTCATATCTGTCTATTCTAAACCAGGATTTCAATACTTTAATAGGACTGGGAGAGGTCCATGATATGTACACCAGTGATTCCTCTTGTCATGGCCTTGTGTTTTGGTTTGAAAAGACAGGTGTCTGCTAAGGAAGGAAGGAGCCTCCCTTGAAATGGAAAATGCAAACTCCCTCTCTCTGAATTATCAGTTTGAAATTAAGGGGCTCTCAGGCAAAGACATGGGAGTAGGAATAGTAGTTCTTTATTAGGAAAATTAAAATACAAATGCACTAGTACAAAAACAAACTACTGACAGAGTCAGAATATGCCCTGACACTGTGTTGGTTGGGGTGTTGGGAGCAGTCCAAAGATACATGGTGGCTGTAGCTTTCTTGGAGTGGCAGATGTGCTTCTTTTCAAGCAGTGATCCTGGAGAAGGGTGGAGTCTTCCTCTGAAGGTGCAGTGGTGGTGTAGATGCGCTTGGTCTTCTTCTGGAAATCTGCTGAAAGAAAGCTGCTCTTCTGGGAATCTAGTGGGAAAAGGCTGCCGTGGTGTTGCAGGTTATATCCAGGTAAGAATGCTTGGGTCCTTCCCCTGGGTAGAGCATCTCCCAATGGGATGATGCAATTTTTTCAGTCATACAGTGAGATTCAGTGGCCCACTAACAGAAGATATTTTCCGGAGGGAGGATTGGTTATGGAAGAGATGAAGAAAACTGCCCCACCTCGTTTTAACAGGTGGCCCAATCAGCAGAAGATAATTGCCCAATCTCTTAACAGACAGCAATAGAATACATACTCCCAGACACATTTTCCAACCTAAGACATTATCCACCCCTTATTCTATTAGTATTTGCATTATACTCAAATCAATAAACTTGACACCATGAAATCTTACACACAGTTCTTACTTAAGACTGGGTTTTGCTGTGGTACACTGTCGCTGTTGAGTTAGGAAGGGATGAAGAAAGGTGACATTGACTCCTAGGATCAGAGAGCATAAAGCGAGATTTATTAGGAACTTCACATATTTAGGGGCAAGATCGTTCACCCAGAACTTGAACGCCCCTCACACCACTGGTTAATGAGGAGCAACATCTTCTGGAAAAATATCTTTCCATAAACATGTACAAAGATTCCACGTGTTCACAAATACCAGGTGCAGAGATTAAGGTAAGAATTGTTTTCATTCTTTCTCTGAGCATTCTCACAACTTCCCTAGGACAATGCCTGGGAAAGTTGTCTGTTTCTCCCTCTGTCAGCATCCAGAGATGACAACAAGAGGCCAGTCTTGTGGAATCATCAAAAGAGAGGGAAGTCCAGGTTGCAGAGGCCCCATGTCCTCTATGATCTTGTTGATCTTCCTCAGCTCGTGGAGCAATCTCCGGGAATCATAAGTCTTCTTATGAATGACAAAAACTGGGCAATTCCAGGGACTCTTTGTAGGTTTGATGTGGCCTTTTTGTACTTGTTCACTTACTAATTTTTTGAGACTATTCAATTTTTTCTGCTCAAGAGAACATTGATCAATCCAAATTGGCTGATTGGTTTTCCATGGTAATTTCAGAGTGGCAGGCGTTGCTGTGGTTTTTGTCAAAAACCCACTTCTATCTTTGCTCCCCACTGGGACAACACGTCTCTCCCCCGTACTGTGATGGGCTTCTGCACCACGAAGGGACGGATGGTTGCCGTCCTTGCCTTGGGACCTGTAACAGTAATCATGAATTCACTTTGCAGACACAAGATAGCTCCTCCAGTTCCTGTGAGAGCACCCATGGCTGTCACCAAATTCCAATTGCACAGCCGGGATGCACAAGAAATCACAGTGATGTCTGCCCCTGTGTCCAGCATACCTGCAATACGAACGGTTTGACCAAGGTGTGTAAGACTCCATGTCAGCTCTGGCCCTTCATTGCTGACATGTTTTATCCAAAGGACATTAGGCATCAGGCCAGAACTCTTAAAACTCTCAAAAGAACTTTCAGCATACAACTTACTTATTTCTAGTCACTGGTAATGTACTAGTGATAGCTATTGCTGGTTTTGGTTCAATTACCATTGGAGCATTGTAAGTAAGAGCTGAAATCATCAGCTCTTCATTATAATTTGCTGAGACAACAGTTGGAAAAATTGAAAGTCCAAGAATTTTATTACTGTCCTTGCCTATAATGAAAAAATCTTGGTTTTGTTGTGAATACATTTCCTGTGCGAGTATATTCATGGTAAAAGCTTTTTTAAAAATAAATTAAATTGGAATTTGTTAGTTTGCATCGTGCCCCTGGGGGTAATAAGTTGGGATCACTTGGGAGATGGTTTTATCTTGTACGACTTTACATCTCACCTTACCCCAATTGGTCAGTCTTTTTCAATTATTTCCTGAATCAAAAGAAGGTAAAGTAGGGGGATTAGTATGTAATATGTTAACTTCTTCAGAATCACTAGAATTCTCACTGTTCTTTTCCTCCCTCACAACCTTGTAAATTACAGACTGTCTCGGAGGAATTTCACAGCAACTGGAGCTTGTTTGTTTTGTAATGTTAACAGAGAAATCCTGCCTTTTGCTAGCAGAGACACTGGTGTTGAGAATTTTTTCCCTCTTTCTCTCCCCTCAATTTTTCTCACAAGCCCCCTCTGTCTCACCGTCCTCCAGCAGCTCCTCAGGGGACAGTGCCTGCGGCCAGCGGCAGCTCCCACCGCTCCAGGGACAGCCGGGGCTGGAAGTGCTGCTCCGCCCGGCCCAGCCGCCAGCTGGGACCCAGCACAGGGACAGGGGACACAGGGGGCACCGGGGGAAAAGCAGGAAGTGAGGGAGGAAGCAGAGCAGAGAAACAGGTTAAAAAGAGGCCTCTAACTATACAGATATCAATCTATGTAACTAAACCCCATACACAAATATGTACATGAACACACTTGCTCTCTCATCTCACAACTCATTCTGCAAGTTGCAATAAACAGCTGAATGCTCTCAGTCGCTCCAAGTTGTTCCTCTTACCATCCTGAAGGGACGGGCAAAAGTAGTAATAGGCAGTAGGAACAACTCTTCAATTCTATTAAAACCTAACTCTTCAAAGATCAGTTTTTATTTTGTGTCTTCCAGGGAAGCAGATGTACCAAACACAGAGGAGAACATGATTTTACTCGGTGCTGTTTGGTCTGGCAGTTCGTATGGTCAAGAACTGCTTTCCTCAGGAACTGGTGGAGAATCCCTCTCTGTGCCTCAAGAACTGCATCATGAGTAAAGCCTGAAGGGACCAACTTGCATTTCATGTGTTAGATGGTAATCCTCCCATACTCTGAGCAGTGTTTAATAAAGCAGTTAAGGGATATTGGAAAAACCCTCTCCTGGCTTGATCTGTGATTTATGGGTAAGAAAAAATGTTGGTTTTCCAAAGAGAAAAATAGTGTTTACAATAGGGAGTTCCCTAGACCTGCCTGAGAAAGCTGCACTTCAGAGAAGGCAATGAAGCAATATAGGGATCAAAAAGAAACTTAGCTTAGAGCAGAGAATAAAAGCACAGAAACACATAATAGAGATTTTAACCTATCTTATACACTGAATGGCTATGACTCCAAAACTTTTATTTCAAGTTGTATAAGTTTTCATGTCTTTTTCCATCATTTATTTTTAAGTAGGACTGTACAAAGAAAGTAAGAAAAGCATGAAGTACACCTAGTACTGTCTGAAGAGTGATGTTAAACACAGGCAGAATCAAATCATGTCAAACCATGTCAAGCAATTTCTGAAGCTATCTGAAGTCTGCTGGTTAGTTGCTGACTGAAAGGAACAGTAGAAACACCAGAATAAATGCAAAAAAAGACAAGATTGGCTAGGACATCTTTAATAAATATCCATGCATAAGTGCTTTCTACTATGACAAAAAGTTAGGTCAGTTCAGATCAGTGAAAGGATTCTTGCTCACTGCAGTGGGTTGGAAAATGCAAATTGGAAATAATTAACTTTGTGAAAAGATCCCAGAGAAAACATTAAACTGATCTTCGTATCCTTTCTAATCAGTCTGTTTCTTCCAATAAAAACAAGCTACATGCTTATAAATCACAATCATTCCTCTGCTATTAGTCTTAGTTTGGTATTTCACAGCACTCTTAAAATGGAATTTGCTGTTCTCCTTTCTATTCTTCTAGCACTCACATGAGTAGGGACAAAAGTGCTGACAGCTCACAGTGAAGAGTCAAAAAGTGCACCCCAACTGTGTGGTTTTTTTGGTTTTTTATTGCTACGTCACATACGTGTGTGACCCTCTCCTTAAGTGAGCTTCACTATAACCATTCATACCTGCTAAATATCACAGCCATTCAGCAAAGGGATTCATTTGTTTCAAAAGTCAGACTCCTAAAGTCAGTGCCCTTCATGAAGCTGCTTTCCCACCGATGGAGACCTCTTCAACAAAGCCTCTTGGGTTTGTCTTGAGAATTAAGAGCAGAAGTGCCAGCTGA